TTGCACCTACACTGTCCTTACAATTTGATCTGGGTTTGATTTTCACCACAGACTCTCCTGCTGCTACAGGAAATGATGATCTCCTCAAATGCTGATAGAGGCCCTTAGCACTTACAATGTGCCTTGAGTTGATTTTGGCTGAACTGAGCCAGTCATTTTCTTTATTTCAAAACATCTAAAGAAATCAATAAAATCCAGCATCTCTACAATCCTTGTAATTACCGCTGCCGACATACCATTCAAGTATAACAGCGAGTGTACGAGTCAGCTCTTCACCCTCCACCTGTACCTCTGCCCAGCCAACCCCATATGAGAATCTTAGTAGCTGCATGCACTGGTTATCACCACCCCATTTCACATTAGCAGTGAGGTCTTCATCGCCATCTGACTGGTGAGTTATGCAATTACCAAATCCCATCCTAATGGTCTGCTTTCCAGGGCTAATCCTGATACTAGCTATCTTTCCCATGGTTTCCCTGAAAACGAACATGAGACGTAGATCTGCATGAGAGCAATTTATTCAGGAATGGTTGCCAATTAGCAGAAGTGATGAACAAGGAGAAGGACAGTAAGAAGGATGGAAAGCCAATTTGAAAATGTGTTATCAAGTTGGCCACTGTTGTGAACAAATGGTTCTGCATCACACAGGACATTCTGAGAAGTCTTATGAAATGTGTATCAATACATAGACCCCTGAGGTCAAAAGGGGGAATCATTTATTCATCAGCTCCAACCCCCATTGATCAAGCATGGGACCCCAGAGGTTAAGTACTCTACACTTCCAAGTTGCAAATGTTGAGTACTGAATGGATTCCCCCAGGGATCAGAAAGCAAGAGGTCTACACTGCAGGTTCAAGGCAGGCACATAGTCGAGTTACACCTGTGTGAAGCTAGTCAAGGCCTGAGTGGAAGTGGTCCTAGCAGCTGTAGCTAGAGTAAAAGACAAGGCCAAGAAGATCTGAGGCTAAAGCATATGTATAAATTAATGTGAAAGAGGCCAATCTGTAAGAAGCTTACTAGTAGGGGTGGGTGGGAAAGCAACCTACTAGGCTATGGAATGGGAACCTACCATTATCTCGTACCTACATTGAACAAGGGTCAACAAACATCTTGATATTTACACATATACATTACCTATATGTCACTAATCAAGGGAAAATATGTGGAGAGATTCAGTGCTGAGAGAAGGGGTTGTGATATAGCAGCCTGCGTTCTCACCATTTGACATGGCATATATGAATCAGCTTTCCACGAGCCACATAGAAAGCCAGGAAAGCAACTGGTCTTGAGCCATCTTGCTAATATTCTACCCAAGAGGTGTCCTTGGCAAGGACACTCCAGTAGTAAGAGATGGCAGAACAGGGAGTGTGGGGCGCAAATTGCTTATGATGAAAGCTTGGGGAGGTGATGACTGACAAATGGAGCCAGAACAAGATTCCATCTCTCAGGGAACTATGTAGGGACCTCTGAAGAACCCACACTTTCATCCCACGCGAGTCAACATTTGGATGCCTGACCCAAGGAGGGCACTGGAGCCAGACATCTGGCTATCTAGCCATGCAGAGAAGTGGAGACAACCAGAAAGTAGAAGACTGTGATTTTGCTTCATGAAGAAAAGAGACATCTGCCCTCTTCCCCAAACGCTCCTCCCCATCCCTCTAGACTTTAAAAGAAGGAGGAAGACAATTTGTGTAAAAAGTAGATCATGCTCCCCTCTCCATTCCAAGCCTCTCCAAATAAAAAGACAACTATGAATTAGTTAAGAAGTTTCTGTTTTTAAACTGTATTGACTAGGTTTTAATATCTAGATATTACTAAAAATTTATGGAATCTAAAATTTGTCTAAGATGATAAGGAAAGGGATAGTGATATTCACCACTGCACTTAAAAGGAGTGATCATTAAAAATAAAACAACTTCATGTTTGTACTCCAAGGAGTTGAAGTGTCTCAGAAAACTGGATATAGTCTGGCCTGTTGGGTGATTTTGTCGAGCTATATTCAATGGCTACAGGGGTGTTTTATCAAGTAGGTGTGCTCCAAGGGCATTGGGGTAAAGCAGTGGAGAGTATTTGCAAAAGACCATTGGAAGGATGATAGAATGGAAGCTGGATAAGGAAGTGAAAACAAAGTTTGAATTCTGGTTCAGTCACTATGCTTTGAGCAAGTTACTGAACGTCTCAGCTTCAATTGTCTCACCTGTAAAATGAGGATAACAACTTCACAGAGACTTTGTGCATCTTTTCACATGGATTCTTCTGACTGAAAACTGCCTCTCTCCTCTTCATCAACTCTTGTTACCTTCTACTCATCCTTTCGATGGTTTAGGTTTCAATTTAGACTTCATTTCCTCCAGGAAGCCTTCTCTATCCTCCCAGGGAGTGAGGCGACCTCTAATATCTTCCAACCACACCCTACTTCTTCTTTTATAACTGTTGTCACACAGAATTGCAATTATCCAATCACTTGTCTATCTGCTCCACTAGACCAAAGACTCTGTGAGGGCAGGGATTATGACTGACTTGTTCATTTAGCACTTATTAGAAACAAAAACATAAACTGAGTTGAATTGACTTGTAGATTATAAGGATTAAGTGAAATAATGCATGTGAAGCTCCTATCAACTTAAGTGCTCCATAAATAGTAGCTTTAAAAAAAATCTCTATTATTATTCAGATCTTTATCGTAGAGCACAGCTCCTGGCATGTACACATTCATATTTCAATAAACTCTTGCTGAATGAGAAGCTCAGGCGGGAGATGAAGAGGTCCTTAACCTACGTCTGCCAGCAGCTATCCTTTCAAGCGGTTTTACTTTCAGTATCCTAAATGCTGTCTCTGAAACTCCAACTTGTGTTGTGTTCTTTTTTTTTTTTTGAGTAAGAAATAGTTAAAAAAAATTAAAATTAAAAAACCCAAAATTAATTGTAAGATGCCGCTATAGAACGGGGGAAAAGGAGGGGTAGCCGGAAACCATAGAGAAGCTCTGAGACCGGTAGCTGGTTGAGGTGTGTTTGTGTGTATTTTCAACGTCTTGCCCACTAGATGGTGGAACAGAGTCCCTATCCTGTCAGCAGAGCTCTTTCTCACAGGTTTGAGTTTCTCTCACCACGCCCACACGGCTGTGCACGTGGAGGAAATCCAATAAATTACATTTTTTCTAAACTTCTGCTTAGAAAGCAGCGAGCTGAAACAAGAAGTGTTTGGGGAATGTTAGGAAGAGAAGTGCGGGAATACGACTAGGGGAGCTAAACTACATTTCCCAGGAAGCCCCGGGCTGGGCCTACAATCCCCATCATGCCCGAGTTCCGGCTCTCGTGACCCGGTCGTACCGTCCACTTCTCCAAGGAGCTCAGATAGAGCCACGGAGTCTCTACTGGAGCAGCAGCGACGGCCGTTACCCCCAAGAGTACCCCAGCCGCGGCTATTCCACCCTTCGCTCGTAGACGCAAAAAAGCACTAAACCGCTGTCCCGCCGGGCCCACGAGCCACGTGACCAGCTGGGTCATGTGACTCCAGAGCCGGGCGGCTGAAGTCTGTTACCCTGGCAACTCTTGGGCCCCGCAGACCTTCTGGGAAAGCGCGGAATTCAGAAGCGAAAGTAGGTGAGGCGTGGGCACTTGCTTCCCACTCGGTTCACCGTGGCCAGGGCTGTCCTCAGATCCGCTCCTCAGGGCTTTAGTGTCCCCGGTCACTCCCCTCCGTTGCCCGGACTCCATGGCAAGGGAGTCTTTGTCTTCTCGCCAGCTGCAGAACCCGCGCTCCCCGGAGCTGGGACCTCGCGGAGCTGAGGGCCCATTGCGGGGATCCGCCTCTGCTCAAGAATTTGGGGCCAAGACCTTAACCCCATACGCCCTGATCTGATCAGAAATGCAGTTGGGGGGAGGAGGTGTTATTCTGCAGGTTGGGCAAAGTATTGTCCCAGTCTGGGCAAGCACCCTCCCTGGCCTCTGCAAAAGCAAGCTGTGGTTTGAGCTGTCTCCGGGATCTACAGTCCAGAAGCTGGGGCAGATCTGAAGTTGGGTTCATTAGAGAGGCAGGGGAGAGCTTTGCCCTTGCAAATCATCGTTGCATAGTTTTTTTGTTGTTGTTGTTTTATAAGGAAGATCAGCGCTGAGCTAACATCCATACTAATCCTCCTCTTTTTGCTGAGGAAGACTGGCTCTGAGCTAACATCCATTGCCAGTCGTCATCCTTTTTTTTCCCCAAAGCCGGAGTAGGTAGTTGTATTTCATACCTGTGCATCCTTCTAGTTGCTCTATGTGGGACATGGCCTCAGCATGACCCAACATGCAGTGAGTCCGTGTGTGCCCGGGATCCAAACCCGGGCCACCAGTATCGGAGCGCGCTCTTAACTGCTAAGCCCCGGCTTGCCCCACCATTGCATAGTTTTTGTTGGTCTTCCTTCTCTCCAAAAGAAACAATTGGTTCTGATTTGTATGCGCCGTTAATTTTATTTTAGGTAGGTTCTGAGTCTTAGTAAATTCCATTTGTGTCTATCTGGAAACGTGTCCATATCTGGAAACAGTCTATTTTGCAAAACTATTTATATGGATTGGTAAATAACTAGCTGAATGAGAAGACAACACAAACTCTGTCTTGTGCTTTGTAAAAAAGAAACAGTCTTTTGGATTTGCTAATTTATAATTTTTAAAAGATTCCTTGAGAGCACCTGGTTTGTTTAAGGGATGTTAAATAACACACACACACACACACTAATATGTATAGACTTAGGAAACATTGTGGGGGCCACCCTTTAATAATAGGATATTAACAATGAAAATGTAATTCTGGACCCTAAGTGCAAGGCAAACAGTGAAAGCTGCATTTCCAAATCAGTTTTATTAATGAATTAGGAATCTCTTGTCCAGTTTACTGGTCAATAATTGTGCTTATATACTAAATCATAAGAGAAATGTGTGGGGTTTAAGTCTGGTTGTTTTCATGATGTGAAATGGGTTTCCTCAGAAGATGTTTATTATCTCTTGTTATTTAGTGTTTCCAGTGTTGTAAATATTTTGGAATGTTTACTTTGGGAAGCAAAAATTATGATTGATTATGGCTCACTATTCCAAAGAAGAGCTGGATGAAGAGTTTGAACAGTTCATGAAAGAGGTAAGTTTATATTTTTAAAAGCTGCATTGTAAATTTATCTTATAAGAAACTCAGCCTTCAATTCTCTCTTTCACCTCTAAGATGCAGTAAGTCTGTCACCATGCTGTCAACTCTGCCTCCAGAATATCTCTCTCATCCCTCTAGTTCTCTCCTTTTCCACTGCCACCATCCTAGTCCAGGACACCATCGTCTCACCTGGGCTACTGCAACCGTTCCCAAGGCCTGTCCCATGTTCCTTCCACAAACTGCAGCCAGCATGAACTGTTACATAAATCAGACTCTGGTCGCATAAATCAGACTCTGGTCCTCCCCAGTGTAAAATACTCTATTGGCCTTCCATCACCTACAGAATAAAATTCCAACTCCTTCCCGTGGTTTACAAAGCCCTGGATGATCTTGCTCCTGTCTACCTCACTGACTTTATACCACTCTTTCCCATTACCCACTAATGCTACTGTGGCCTTTTTTCTCCTTCAGACATGCCAAGCTCGTTTCACATTAGGAGCTTTGCACTAGCTGTCCTTCTGCCAATAGTGCTGTTCCCCTATTCTTCACCTAGCTGGTGAAGATCTCATCTTGAATACCACTACCTCAGAGAGGTTTTTTTCATGTTTATCCAGTAAAAAGGTAACCACCAAGTCACTTCTTAGTATACCATGTATTTAATTCTCCATGTAGCACTTAGCACCATTCATTATTTACCTGTGTAGGTCTGCTTTCTGCCTCCCATTATTAGAGTGTATGGTCTATACGTGATGGTTATATGTTCATTGCTCTACCCGCAGTACCTAATAGATGCTTAATAAATATTTGCTGAATGAATAAATTAGAGGGTTACACCACATCCTAGGTATTTATAGAGATGGAGAAGCCTTGCAGAGCATTCAGGAGAGTCACATTTTAACTAACATTCTTGTTCATAAAGGGAGTTGGATGTGTGATGAAGTAGAAAGAACCTCAGTTTCATTATCTAACAGAAAAAATAATGCCAACACTTTGTAGGATTGTTGTACCGATTAAAAAAAGCATCTACCGATTGCCAGGATGTAGTAGATACTCAGGATATGAGTTTCACTTCCCATTTGAAAAACTGATTTTTTTGTATCAAATATGTGCACATTTTGAAAATTAAGTTTATAGGAAGTATTTTCATTGTAAAAGATAAAAAGCAGTATAGGCCAACTTTTTTCCTTTTACCCCCCATTACCACCCCTCCAACACTCTCCCTCTCCCTCCTTTTCCCTCCCTCCCTTCCTCTTCCTCTCATATTCAGCCTCAACTCATAAAAGCTGTTATCTCATGTTAGAGATTTGGATAAGGTAGTGTCTCATTTTTAAAAACGAAAACCATGATTTTATAGTTATGCTAACTTTTTTGGTCATTTTGATAAATTATTGTTCAAACAGTTTGCTCAAAGGTATGGTTTACATATCTTTGTTTTTAAGGAGATTGGTGGGACCAGATTTTTTCCCCCCAGCTTTATTGAGTTATCACATACCACACAATTCACCCATTTAAAATGTACAATTGGGTGGTTTTTAGTATATTCACAGAGTTATGCAACCATCACCACAATCACTTTTAGAACATTTTCATCACCCCAGAAAGAAACACTGTACCCATTATCATTTACCCCCTTCCCCAGCCTTAGGCTCCACTAATCTGCTTTCTGTCCCTGAAGATATGCCTATTACAGACATCTCATAGAAGTGGGATCATACAATATTTGGTCTTTTGTGGCTGGCTGCTTCCACTTAACATAATGTTTCAGAGTTCATCCATGTTGTAGCATCTACCAGTACTTCACTTATTTTCATAGCTGAATAATATGCTGTTGAGTTCTATCCACTTTTTGGCAGTTATGAATAATAATGCTGCTTTGAACAATTGTGTACAAGTTTTTGTGTAGATGTATGTTTTCATTTCTCTTGTGTATATACCTAGGAGTGGAAATGGTGGGTCGTGTGGTAACCTTTTTAACCTTTTGAGGAACCGCCAGACTGTTTTCTATGTGACTGTGCTATTTTACGTTCCCACCAGCAGTGTATTAGTATATTGGGGTTCCAATTTCTCCATGTCCTCACCAGCACTGTTATTATCTGGGGAGCAGCATTTTGTTTCGTTTTATTTTTAATGATAGTAGTTTTTGAAGCAGTGTGGAAGATTGTCGAAAGGAGGAATACCTACTATGTATTAGACAGTAGAGTGGACTCTCCATTTCTTTTTCTGATCTTTTTCTGATCTTGCACAACCCTGCAAGGTCAGTGGTACTGTAACTATTTTTAATGGATGAATAAACTGAAAACAGGGGTAATTTTCCCTAAGCAACAGAGCTAGCATATTTGGAAGTTGAAATTTGAACTCAGATCTGCCTGGCCCCAAAAATGTATTCTCCTTCTTCCGCATTCTATGGGGCCTTGAGGTTTAGGAGGAACAGACTTAGTCTGAGGCAGGTTATCAGAATCTGATAAACAGTGAGATGTAGGGAAGAGAGAAAAACAGAACATTTCAAGGTGATGGTGAAGGTTAGAGATGGAATGGAAGGCGAAACAATTAAAATTTAGATAGGATAAAGAATAGTTTTCTTCCCGCCTTCCATCCTCCTGCCTGGTTCTCAGGTAAGACAGTGAGTTCCTTTTGAACATTTAAATTAAAATTGACATTCTTACAAGTCATTGAGGTAGAGTTGTTTGGTTGGCAGGTGGAAATGTGTGTTGTTGTCTTCAAGTTTAAAAGGTCACTCAGGTAACATTGTCCTCACTGGTGGACTACACAGTGTAGTGGAAAGTGGACAGGTTTTAGTCAGAGAGACCTTGGTTTGAATCTCAGCTCTGTAACACTTTCTAATAGTAGCAACTTGGGCAAGTTGCCTAACCTCTCTGAGCTTGTTTCCTCATCAATAAATCTCTGCTGGATTGCTTAAAGATTGAGATAACCTGAGTATAGACCCTGACATAGAGCAGGCATGGAATAAATGTTGGTTTCTTCCTCAAAAAAGGTGTATAGAATTGTTATGAGAGGTTCAGGGATTTGATCGGAGACGTAAAAGACACTCTCCACTCCAAACAAATGAACTGAAGGTATATTTTATTATATAGAGGATAATAAAGGTGATAGTCTGCAAACAGATCCGAATAGGTCAAATATTAAGAGGGAAAAAACATCAGCTCGACTGGAAAGGGAAAACATCCACATCGACTTAAGAGAAATGACACAAATCAACCGGAAAGAGAAACACCAGGTTGACCAAAAAGAGAAAACATCAGATCAATTACTTCATATCAAATCAATTACTTCACATCAAATCAATTACTCACAATATCCACGCCCCACTGCCAGGAGAGTCCTGTCAATCGACGAGGCTGGGCAGGGATCACACGTCCTGGGCAAGGCGTCCCTTCCACAGGTGGAGCTCTCACCAGGTCTCAGCTTCCAGCAGTTTTTATACCATCAATAATTTTCAGAGTAAGCAATTACAGAGTTTGCAGAGCAAGCATTTAGTGTTTCCATGCACAAATGGTTATCAGTGGCCTACGTGCACTGAGCTCCCTGGCTAACGTCCCAGCCCAGTAGTTGTGTACGTGCATTGTTCTCTTTGGTTATCGTCCTAGCCCGGCACAGATGGCCAGTCCATCCCGTGCTACGACGCTCCAAGAGCCTTGAAATGTTACAACTTGCAACTCTCGCCGTGGGAGAAAGGCCAGTTCCTGGGAAAAGGCCAGTCCCCACCACACAGAAAGCAGCTTTATATTTCTTTGTGTGCTGGTGGCTGTAGGTCAATGGAGCGGCCAAACATGGTTGTACTCATCTTAAGACAAGAATGAGGATAAAAAGGCCCATGAGCATGGTCTTGGGGAAGTCTCGAGTTAAAGAAATGGGCAAAAGAGCTAAGAGCTATTAAAATAGATCGGTGGAAAGGTCACAGAGCTGAAGTGTAACCTGGAGGAAGTGATGCTGTGAAGTCAAAGGTAGGGAGTTTCAAGAAGTACGAGTTGGTCACCATATCAAATTCCATGATGTTATCAGGGAAGATGACTGACACTCGTCCCTTATTTGTGGCATTTAGGAGGCCTTTGTTGCCAGGAGGAGAGCTGTTTGGATGGGAACCAGATTTTAAGGGGTTGAGCAGTGAACTTGAGAAGTTGGTATATAAAGGAAAAGTGATAAAGAGGTGGAGTGAAAAGAAGGTAGGAATAAGGAACTTTCCCTGTTTATTTTGTTTTGTTTTTGTTTTGCTTGTTTTATTTTTTAAAGTAGAGTAGACTTGAGTGTTCATTCTTCCATGCCACAATTGTGCCAGGTGCCATGCTGGGCCCTGGGGATGCAGTGATGAGCAGGTTTATAATCTGAGGGAAGGAGGGAGAGGAGAGAGAGGAGGGAGTGAAGATAGAAATGAAATGGCATAACCAAGGAAGCGAGAGCCTGGAGAGGTGAGAAGGGACCCCCCCCTGCAGGTTTCCCTTGGAGTGGAGGAGGGAATTTCTCTTCTAAGAGGAAAGCAGTGTCTTAACAGGTGAGTTTAGCGGTGGAGTGAGGGGAAGGAGGCTGGTTTTTGACTGAAGGTCTTTATTTTCTCAGTAAAGAGAGAGGCCGAGTTATTGGCTGAGAATGAGGGGGGTAGATTAGGGTTAGAGTAGCGATTTAGGATTGTAGTAAAATTTGGATCTGAAGAGTAGAAAAGACAAAAGTTTTTTAAAGTTTTTTAATCATTGTGACAAAGCACTAATTTCTCTGGTAAACACCTGAAACTCAATTCTTCCCAGTCTTAGAATTCTGTGTTCTTCTAGAGTGGTGGTAGGTAATTTTGCTCAGTTGTTATTTATTCTTAGACCCTAGAGAATGTGTAGAAGAGGATTGTATCCTTCTTTTTTCCCCTTTCCTGATTACATTTCTTGATCAAGTTTTCTTTATTTCTTTGTTGTTATTGATGACGTTTTTCTCCATGGTTGGTTTACATGTTTAATTCTGGATGTGAAATCAATGTTCAGAGATGTATGCTTGATTTGTAAATTATTTTGGCAACGTATGTTTAGAAATGTGAATTTATACGTTATTGCTGAAAACATGTATGTGATAGCTGAACTGTGACAGAAGTAAGAGAAACATTTCTAGTGATGAATCTGGGATTCTTGAACTTAAATTCACTGGTTTGTACCTGATTCAGCTTTCAGATGATTCTTTTGAAAATTCAAGCAAAACACCTAGACAACCTGAAAAAGAAGTGAAGAAGAAAGATACAGTGCCATGGTGGATAACTGAAGATGATTTTGGAGATGGTGGTAAATATTGCTGATTTTTAATTTCCAATTATTTGGCCACAAGGGGTCAGTCAAGACTTTTAAATTTGGATTTTGTTACTGTACTATAAGTATACAAAGAAAATAATATCAATAGTGTGAATAGTGTGAATTTTTGTGTATGAATTGATTTTTATCTTTTTTATTATATACTTATTATATAATTGAGAATCTGTGTTTCTGCATTATCAGGTTATTTTACATTGAGATAATTTATATTTACTCAAATTAAGATGGTGAATAATACAGGTATATTTTTATATTATCATGTTTAATGGTAAATTGATTTAAGGTGATTTAATAAAATATTCTGACAATGTATTAATGTCATCACATTGGAAGATTTTAACAAATCTGTAGATTTTGGTATCACAGTCTGTTAATAACAATAGTAAAAAAATAATTTATTGCCTTAATAGTAAAGAACTCGTTATTGATTCTGTCTGGCATATGTGTATACCTTTCCCAGAACTATTTCTAGTCACATCTTTACAAATGGTAAATTACTCTCTGGAGTGTTTTCTTCGGTATATCTACTGTATATGATACTGCTATATCCATAAGGAACCCCAGACTACTTCTGTTAAGTACCTATGTTTGCACTATTTGTGGATTATTAAGCACCATTTTATAAACTGATAGGATTTCTATATCTCTTCTCTAGGGGAAGAATTTACCCCCGGTTTTTGTTTTTTCTCTTAAAATTGAGCCCGAATTCCTTTATGTGACAGTTAAGGCTCTGCAGAATCTGACTGGACTCCTCCTTTCTAGCCTCACGTGCTCCAGCCACACTCGGTTATTCCATATCTCCTCGAAACACCAGTGGCTCCATGCCGCTGTGCCTTAGCTCATGCTTTCTTGCCACTAGAATGCCTCTCCTCTCATCCTTCCTGTCCAGTAAAGCTTGGCATTACCTCTTTTTGCAATCCTTCCCTAACTCGTCTAGCTCCCTTGTCAACACAATTACTTATTGCCTCCCGTGTTTTGAAGTCAGAACACTGCAATAGCACGTACACGTTGTGTTGGTAGTTGTAACCTTTGGGGCTCCTCCTGAGGTTGGGAGCTTTGTGAGGGCAGGAAACGCTTCTTTTTCCATGTATCCCCTGACCCTCAACAGTAAATAATAAATGTGTTTAATAAATGAATGTTAGAATGAATTTGATAATCACTTCTCTGTTCTTCTTAATACTGGACAATAAAGAATTGCCTTATTGAAAAATTCAGTGTGTTTTTTTAAAATAAATCCTCAAACCATGCTGTAATGCTAAAATGCTTTGCACGTGAAGAATTCTTTTTTAGAATCTTACCCCCCGTTGGTGCTTAAAAAGGATATTACATGATGAAGTACTATTGGAGTTGTTGACGAAGATTTGAGACTTAATTAACATTAAAGTCTCTTTTCTAGAAAGTAATGAATCAGAGATGGAATGTGCAAACTCACCCTAAAGGGAAAGACTAGATCCTAGACCAACACTTGAATGTAACTTGACTAAAGGTATTAATAATTTTTTTAAAAGAATGTATCAGTCAGAAGTGGATTTAATTAGTAAAGGATACAAAGAATACTTAAGAAGCAAACTTTGACAATGTCTGTTGAAAATAGGGGAGAAAGTTTCTCTGCCCAAGGGTGTAACCTGGACATTTATGGAGTTCATGTTATGTTCTGAGTACTAGACACTAGTATACAAAGACAAGATATGATTCCTGCCATCAAGAGTATAGAAGTTTCTAAGGGAGAATTGAACACCCCTCTTGAGGAGAGGAATGCATTACCAATCTTAGATAGACGCCATTAAATGTCAACATTGAGCTACCTCAGCCCTATAATTTTGTTTTCTCTTTCAGTTGCTGTGAGGATAAAATGTTCTGCCTAGAGGGTGAAACTATCTAATCCTGCTACTGGTTATACTCTTCATTAGAAATAACTAAATTGGATCTTGGTTTCGGTTGTATTAGTCTCTCATGAGCTTGGTTAGTGTGGGTCCCTGAGTCCAGCTTCAGAGCTGATGTGAGACCCTGGACAGATGCCACAACAGCACCCCAACCTTGACATGCCCGTTTTCATTTGAAGTGTCTACAGATATATCTCTTGATTTTCTGCAGCTGTGTGGAGGTTATTATTTGATCCTTTAAAACCACTATTCAAGCAGGGCCGTAAAATAAATTGATTCTGAACCCTTTCAAGAAGACACAAATTAGAAATTAAAATCAGAATTTTTGACTTCTTAATAAGGCTTCCTTCTGAGCAAAAGTGATATTTTTCTAATCTTAATATTTATATCACACAATATAGTTATTTACTTTTTCCGTATATGTATCAATTTTTTACAACAAATATCTACTATTAGGGTAAAGAAATTTTGATATTGCATAACTTTTCCAGTGTTTTCTAGTGTTTTTGGAATAAAGAACAAAACTCCACCCCCTGCCTATGAGAACGAGCGGAGTCTGACCATCGACTCCTGCTCTGGGCTTATTTCTTCCCAGCCTACGCTCACTTTCTAGATCAACCTCACTGGCCTCCCTGCATCCTCAGATGTGGCCTGCCCGTCCCATTGTGGACCCTTGTACCTCCTCTTGCTCCCACCTGGAATTGTCACCCTTTCCCAGTTTGCCTGGTTATTTCTTACTCTTCCTTACTCTTCCTGCACATAAGGCAGACGATGTTCTTTTAAGTGCTGTGGTATACTGTATTAACCACTTGTGCTTCAAAATAATTTTAAAAATCTTGTCTCATTATGTACATTTTTGAAAGATTCCATTTAATAAGATGCACTGCAAATAGAATTGTAATTTTTCTTTTGTGACTTTTTGGTTTGATGGCTTTTTATTTAGTAGACTAGATTTATTTTGTAGCTACTGTCCACAAAATTAGTATAACAGTACTACTGTGTTGGTATGGTGGTCAGAACAATTTTCTTAACATAAATATTCAACTTTATTAAATCCCATCTCTAGGACTGCTTGGAACGAATGTAAGCTATTTGAAAACAAAGAGGACTTCTCATCCTGTTATGGATGTGGAAGAGGAGTCTGCTGAGAGGATTCAATTTCTTAAGAGCAGTGGAACCTCTATCTTAAGTATTGACAGCTTAGAAACAAATGGTAAGAAATATGAGGGATATGAGTTGACAGGTTAGTTACTATGCTTATAATCGGAATTTTGTAAAAAATTAACTCATAGCTCTCTTGGAGCCTCCTTTACTGGAACATGTAGACAGATTTAATATTTTCCTAGAAGGTTTAGAATTACACCTCTCGAGAAGCCTTATAACCTTACATATACATTGTAAATATAAATCTATATTTGGTGGGTAAGAGATTAAGTAAAGTATGTTTTAAATTTTTAAGAATTTTACGATATAATGTAAATAAATGCATCATTAAAATTTTATCAAAATTCTGTATGTTAATAAGATATATTTGTGCTTTCCATTTAGAGATGGTAGTTTCAGAGCTCGATCATAATGTTCTAGGATTGGGATTGGACACGTTAGAAGAACAAGAGGAAAAAGAGCAGTTTTTTGCCAGGCTTGAGAAAGGCTTAACATCTTCCATTGATTACTCAAGATTGAATAAGGAGTTGGATTCTAATGACTCCATACATTTTAAAGCTTTAAACAGGTAAGATAAATACAATATAAATTAATCGTTAAATGATTTTTGTGTTTTTTTTTTTTTTTTTAAATCAGTGCCTTTATTTTTTATTTATTTATTTATTTATTTATTTTTTTGTGAGGAGATCAGCCCTGAGCTAACATCCACCAATCCTCCTCTTTTTTTTTTTTTGCTGAGGAAGACGGCCCTGGGCTAACATCTGTGCCTATCTTCCTCCACTTTATATGGGACGCCGCCACAGCATGGTTTGCCAAGCAGTGCGTCGGTGCGCGCCCGGGATCCGAACCAGCGAACCCCGGGCCGCCGCAGCGGAGCGCGCGCACCCAATCGCTTGCGCCACCAGGCCGGCCCCTGTGTTTTTCTATATTTTTGGAAGGCTGGTATATGCATGGACTTAAATCGGTAAACATTGTATCAGACAAAAGTTAATGCTTATTTTTAACTCTATTCTCTGTTCATTATTTTGGTCAGGGTTTTTCTTATATATGCACAGGGTATGTTGATTTGTATTTGAGAGCCCACTCTGCCTCCAGGTATCGGAAACTGCATGCCTGAGATACTATTGAGACTAAGAGCACATTATCAAAAAGACCGTACTAGGAAAGTAATATATTAAGTGCTTTTCCACAGTAAGGTAAAGAAGAGTCCCGGTAGCTATTATAAACTCGGGAAACAGGAACAGAAAGGGAAGGGGGAGCCAAGGAGCAAAGACAGATTTGGTCTGTGTCCTGCCTTTGTGTATGGTTGACCCTAATGATTATCAGGAGACCTCATGTATCCTGGAAATTCTACTAATTGAGTTGGTCCTCTAAGTACAGTAGACCCTTGACATTCTTAAGACCTTTGTGAAACCTGATATCTTAATTTCCTTAGTTTCAGTTTTCCATTTAATTTTTTAAATTATAAATGGAAGTCAGATTACAGTCTTCAGATTTTAAGATCACCAAACTAGAATTAAATTAAGGGTCAGGAGAATCATAACCTGTGGTTATTGGAGTGCCTGGTCTCTTCAAGATGCTTAGTTTCTTATAGACAGTGGACAAAACAGTGACTTTCATGGACTTTGTAGGGTCTGAGATTTTTACCCACCCTACTTGCAAACTAACAAATTAGCCTGCCAGTTTTACGGATGCTGACAATAAACACAAGATTCCTGGGTCAGAAATGAAGGATTTCATTTCTCATCACAAGAGCAGTACCAAAGTGTCATGTTTATTTGCCTCAGTTCTCCGTGCCACACAGGGCCCACAGCAATACAAAGGCAATACAGCCATGATGGCTGTCTGCATGTGTGGTGGGTTGCTTTACAGAAGAGGATCACTGAGCTTGAGGATTTATTGCTTACGTAGTGAGTGGGAACAAGCCTGCTCTTTGTCTGGACGGAAACATTGCCTCATCTCTCAGAGTTGCTCACTGCAAACACAACCCTGAGAAATGACCTAGGAAAGAGGGGTCCATGCCGCTCGTTTATGGCACACCAAGCAGAAACATGCAGGGATACTCAGGGCCCATGGTGACTGCCTCTCCCAACAGTGACAACCCAGATTAGGCATGCACAGGTTTGTTGGTCACGAGTTTTAGCCCATTTGCAGTATTTCTTAACTTTTTCTGACTTCTTAACAGTGTTCTTAACTGCTGATATTTCTGCTCCAAAACGGGCTAATCAGAGTACAGCATATTATTGTGTATGCAATATTAAGTGTTTGCTGCCATTATTATGATAGTCTTATAATTTCTTGGATCTGCTAATGATGTCATTAAAGACAGAGTTGATGGACTGAAAAAGGTAGAACTGATTCCTTGGTTTGAAAGAAAGCAGTATATGAACTAATATATCCGATATAATGAAAACTTGCGCAAGTTCCTTTGTCACCTTGCTGAGTGTTTCGTGGTTTAAGGCTCCTGTTCTGCTTCCATTTCAGGATTAAATTGCGTATTAGCATGTGAATGCTGACCCTGGCATGTTTTTCTGGCCTCCATGTAGACTTCACTCCGTCTCATAGCTTTCGGTCATTTCCTAATCTTTCATGTAGAAAGGATATCTAGGTCCTGAGACGTGTAAATTGACACACAATTATGTCTAAAATTGTGTATGTGTACTAAGTTAAGAAATATGACATTTTTTTTCCTTTGTGTTACTTTGGCAGCTACAGTTAGGCTTTGAGGAACCTTTATGTTCAAAACATTTTCCTTACAGCTCCCAGATTTTTAACGTAGAACAAGAGTACTTGAGAAGAACTGTATAATGTTAGAGATTTTTAAAAAATATACACAAAGGTTTGCATGGAAGTGTGTTATTAACATGTAATACTAAATTAAGTAAATGTTTTTCCAGTAATCAAGCTGATATAGAACTAACTGAAGATAAACATGAGAATGAATCGAAACATGAAGAACTGGCAGGTAATTTCAATGGTTTTTAAATTTACAACATTTGAAAAGATAACATAGCTTTAATAAAGACCTTGATAAGAGAAAAATAATTACTAAAAAGAAAATCTAAAATTGTCTGCTAACATTGTCTTGGAAAGAGCTTGGAACAGGTAGAGGGAATTGCCTATGTTAGAACCTGAGCGACCAGGAAATTGGTAAAAGGGTACTGCTGCCTCGTTTGCTGGGAGTGGGCAGTGGACCAGTTAGGAAGACAGAAAAGGGATTTTTGTGCTGGGCCCAGGGGAATCTGTGGAGCCAGGACAAATACCTCCCAAGCGTGATTGGGGGGGTATATCTTTTTCCATCTTTTGACTTTTAATGTGTGTTTTTATATTTAAAATGGTTTTCTTATAGATACCGTATAGCTGGGTTTGGCTTTTTTATCCAATCTGAGGATCTCTGACTTTTAATTGAAGTGTTTCTACCCTTTACAAAAATATATTTATTGATATAGTTATTTACCGTTTTGCCATTTGTTTTTTTATCTTTTCATCTTTTTTTTGTTGTTATTGCTTTTGTGCTGCATTCTATCAGATTGAGTAGTTATAGCATTCCATTTTATTCCTTCTTTTGGCTTGTTACTTGTACCGCTTTGCTGTATTTTTTTCCTTAGTAGCCCTATGATTCACAATATCTTTATCTTTATTAGATATCTTTATCTTATTACAGTCTGCTTTCAAATAACATACCACTTTATATGTCTTAACAACAGTCATCTCCCTCCAACCTTTTTGCTATTTTTGTCATGTATTTTTCTTCTATTTTAGAAACCTCACAATGCATTATTACTTTTAATAGTCAATTATCGTTTAAAACTTTTTAAACAGATAAAAAATTATATTTATGTAAAAATTTATATGTATCCACATATTTACCATTCCCAGTGCTTTGCATTCTCTTGCATAGAGTTGAGTTTCTATCTAGTACTGTTTTTCTTCAGCATGAATTACCTTTAAAATTTCTTGTAATGCAGGTCTACTGGGAACAAATTCAGCTTTCATTTGTCTGAAAATATATTTTGCCTTCGTTTTTGAAGAACACTTTTGCTTGATATAGAATTTTAGTTTTCTTCCTTTGAGCACGTTAACAATTTCATTCTCTTGTCCTCTGACATTATTTCTGATGAGAAGTCTGTGGTAATTCCTATTATTGTTATCTTGTATATATTGCATCTTTTTTTCTCTGTTTTCAAGATTTTTCTCTTTATCCCATGTTTTTTGACAGTTTGATTATGGTGTATCTTGGTGTGCTTTTCTTGTATCTTTCCTCTTTGGAGCTGGTTGAGCACCATTGATCTGTGGAGTTATAATGTTGATTAAAATCAAAAAATATTTTGGCCATTAATTCTTCAGATATCATTTTTGCTGCCCCCTGCCCTAATTGCAAGTATGTTAGAAAGCTAAATTTTGTCCCACAGGTCACTAAGACTGTTTCATTTTTTAAAGCTTTTTTCCTCTTTGTGCTTCAGTTTTCATTGCTATGTCTTCAAGTTCACTGATTTTTTTTTTTTCTTTAATCTTCTGTTAATTCGTTGCATTTTTTTTTTTTATTTCACTCTAGAAGTTCCTTTTGTATCTTTTTTATCTCTTTGGTATCTTTCCTCATTACGTTCATTTTATTTCATGTCCTCAACATTGAGCATATTCTGCTGATCTCAACGTTTGTTCATTTCTGGGTCTCTTTCTGTTGACTGCTTTTTCTCTTAGTTATGGGTCACTTTTTCCTCCTTGGAAATCTAGTAATTTTTTATTGGGTATGAGATATTGTGGATTTTTACAGTGTTGAGTAGCTGAATTTTGTTTTATTCTTTTAAAGAGTGTTGAGCTTTGTTCTGGCAGATAGTTGATCCTTTTGAGGCTTTTCTTATGCTTGGTTAGGGGAACTCTAGAGTAGCCTTTACTCTATGACACTACCACTGAGACACAGTGCTTCTGCTACTGAATCCCCTGCTGATCATTGAGAACTTTTTTCACTCACGCTGGTTAGAGCTCCAAAGTCTCCTTGCCCTGTGTGAACTCCAGGAATTATCCATGCAGCTTCTCATTCTTGGCTCAAAGTACACATAACTGGCTTAGTATTCAGCAAAGACTCAAGGGGACCCCATGCAGATTTCTAGAGCTCTGTTTCTACATAGGTACTTCGTCTCTTTGTCCCTGGCCTGCAGCTTCTGATCACCTCAGCTCTTCTGAACTCTTACCTCTGTCTCCTCAACAGTGACACTGTCCTGATCTCCACCCCGCTACTTAGCTTTCCAGAATGTACGTACCTTCAGGGAACTGTAGGGCTCAGCTCACTTGTTTATCTTTTCTTAGGAATCACATTTTTGTGCTGCCAGTTGTCCAGTGTCTGAAAACAGTTGTGTCATGTATTTTGTCCAATTTACTAATCGTTTACAAAGTCCTTGAACTTCAGCATAGTAGAGGAGAAATTAAAATTTGCAGCTATGTTTTCCAACAAAGAATAAAAAGTCTTCAAAAAAGATGTTTTAGATCTTTTACATTGAATATTGTTTATCTGAATTTTTAATATATTTTTTATTTATGCAAATAATATTTTCAAAGTTACAAGGTTAGAGAATATAATAATAGAAATACTACCTTGAATGTGTCACATCTTCCTGCAGAAAAGGTTGGAGCACTACAAATTAGTATTCTCATTTTTTTCCAAACAATATAGTAGAGCCTGGATGTTGTTATATCTGATATTTCTCATATGAGAACCACCTTCTCAATTTAATTTTACTCTTTCATTTTTATATCAACTTAATTTGCCTCAGTGCTTCTTTCTGAAATCTCTAATATGCTGTTTTCCTTCTCTTTATTTGTTGTCCTGTCCATCTCATTTCTCTCTGTATCTACCAATGGCATTTCCTTCTTACTTCAAACCTATTTTATTCATGACAGATTCCTGGGGCGGGGGTTGGTCATTCATATATTGGACAGTAGTATTTGCCTATAGACTGTGCAGTTACTATGTGCAAATTACAAAATGTAGTTTTGAAAAGTGCATATTGATTAGCACTTTTCCCAGTCAGAAATGATATATGGCTTTATAAACTTTCAATTCAGATTAAGCATAACACTAGCTGTAATAATACTAACAGAGATAATTATTACTATGAACATAATAGCTAACACTTATATATAGTGCATATTATATATCAGCCACTGTTCTGAACACTCTAACTCTCAATCTTTTCAGCAGCCCTTTGGGATAAGTACTATTATCAGCCCTATTTTCCAAATGGGAAAAGTAAGGCACAGAGGGTTTATGACCTGCTGACAGTTCTACAGCTGAAAGTCGTAGAACCAAGTAGTGAATCCAGGCCTTCTGGCTCTTGGCCGTGCTCTTAAGCACTGTGCTGTACTGCCTGAACTGGTTCTTACACTGCCTCTTTGCAGTCACACGAACACTACATCCCCTTCCATTGATTGCATGTAGTTCCCAAATCCCAAGTGGTTGTCTAAGTTCATTGTCATGCCCTCCCATATCTCCTCTCCCCTTGCTCATCATCTTTTCTTAAGCAAATCTTATCTCTGAGGTTACTTAAAATTCAGTGATTCCCACTTAGAATATTCAAGTCTTCATCATTTTATATTGGTTTAGCACCTAGAAGTATGTTTAATACAAACTAATTTCTCAGTAACTATTTTGTGACTTAATTATGTCTATTGATATTTAGAAAATCCCAATGTTCTTTCTTATCTGGAAGAGAAACAAGGTGAGCTTCTCAGCCTCAGAACATAGATATTAATGCAGTTACCTTACTAACCCAGCTTATCCAGCTAAGTTACAACACCCATGCTGTTCCAACCTCATATTCCTTATCAACTAAAGTGGAGATGTTTCTGTAGACAGATCTCACTCTAACTTCCAAGCCTTCTCAAATGCATTCCCAGACTTCCATTATTAGTTATACTCAGGTTGTCCCCTCCATTCTAAGAGAAGACTAAAGGACAGCCTTTCCAGAAGCAGACTCTCTAGTACCTCGTACAGTCTCTCTCAACAGGCCAACCTGATTCTGAATGTGATCTAATTTTTGAAATACAAATAAGACTTTTTCTTTCTGGAATGATCGATTCCACTCTGAAAAGGCTGTTCCTCTTCTATAGCCCACAGATCTCTGTCAATCCTTTGATTTAAGTGCTGTAATCAACAGGTTAATAATTGATGAAAAGATCCTGGCCAAATAGTCCTTGCTCTACCTTCCCCATTAGTAGTCTGATGACATCATGTTAACGTGGACACAGCTTTCCCTTCTGTTGCAAAGTCATTGAGATATAATTTGAGACTTTAGCTGAAAAGTTCCCAGGATTGGGAAACAGTGAAGGTCATACAGGGCCAGTATTTCCTAAGAGAGGTGTCAGAGATAGACTTCTTATAAGTGCTGTTTAAGGCTTACGGTAGAGATACCTGCAGAAACCAAAAAAATCAACTTAAAAAAATAAGCAAAATCCATCCTTTTTAAGGGTGTCAAGATTTCACAAAAGTGCTGCTTTTTATAAGTAAGCAATTTGAGATTTTTGTCTTTAAAAAACAATTACTAAAGTTTGTTTTAAAAATGATATAAAATCTTTTGGACAGCTCTACAAATTTTTAGTTGGTTAATAATATAAAAGGTTAAAAATATAAAACTCTTATACTATTTGAAAGTACAAAAAACTGAAATGAGCCTAAGATAGTCTTATGAATTGAATTCTCATTAAATCTTTGCAAAAAAAAATACGTTCTCTAAAGATATCTTTATGTAAATATTTCAGTAAGTTATTCTCATGCAGACTTCTTCCTTTGAAAATCAACCGTTTTTTCCTGGAATTTGACTTCTTTGACAATGTGGTCCTTGTATTTTTTAAAATTATTTTCTTCAGAAAATTACAGTGATGATTTTGAAGATGAGGAGGATATTGATGCACCTTTGACTACTAAGGATGAAGAGACTAATTCCAAAGAAAATCCCAAATCAGAAGAAATAAATGCGCCCAAACAGGTATACATCAGTTATATATTTGAGTATTTATGCTAGTAGTAACATTACTGTCTGAAACTTACTTGGCTAAGATCATGAATTAAATTATTCCATTCACATTCTATGTTGCTATACTCTTAATTCTTTCGTTTCTCAGTCCTTACCAAAATGGTGAAAGATACTACAAGATATTGGCTGCCTGATAGAACTTACCCTTGAGCTATCTCACAGTAACTAGTAGGATAATTACTATTTGTTATATTGGTCTATATCTGGACACAGTCTCTTTTGGGATTGTGTGTTAGGAGTAGATGTTTTGAACATGTGAGAAACCATAAACTCTCTAAAAAGAAGTGAGGAACACTTTCCAGGTATTAATAAATACTCTTATCTTTAAATTTACTTAGTATTTTGTCCTTGGGTGTCTGTGTCACAGTTTGGGGGGAAAACCAAGATGACCTTAGAAATACATGAAGATTAATACACGTGATCTGATGAATATCTTTAGAGATTTAATGGGATTTATACTTGAAATATGGCAGTTACAATATTTTATAAAAAATAAATAGGTCAGTAGAAGGCACAATAGTGTGGTATATTAAGAAAGTATAGCCTGCATATCAATGTGTCAGCCTAAATGTGGAAGCCTAGTAGAGAGTTGTTTGGGTAAGGATCTGAATAGGAAGGAAATAAAGCTCTGTTATTATGGGATGATCCTACATACTGCTTAAACAAGTGGAGAATATAGGTGACACCAGTTAGAAAACTTATTCTAAGGGAACCTATAATATTGATGAATTTCAACCATCTTGCCATTTGGTGGTCTACATTTTTGAGACAAAATTTTGTCTCTCAAAATGTTGATGAAACAATGAATACAAGTTATATTTGATCATTAATTTTTAACAATAAGGGAAAAATGATTGGTGATATTATAATAGTGGGAATCTTACATGAAGTATACATGTTATCCTGAGTTCAAAAAATAGGAGAATTTTTGAGTAAGGTAGATGAGTAGGTGGCATGTAGATACTTTAAACAAGGCTTATGAAGGCCTAAGTTACTTACTGGTAATTGCCAAGGTTCTGAAGAGACTTTTAAAAGTTCTCTCATAGCTACAATCTCTGGTCTTGTAGAATTGTTGGTGAATGAGGGTGATGAAAGAAACCTAGAGGGCACATTTCTTGATCTTATAGTGGAGTAAAGCACTGGCTTTCAAATTTTGTTACTATTTCCATTGTCATTTTACATAACTTTGGTTTCAAATCATATGATCATTTTCTTCTTTTAATTTAGGAAGAAGAGAAAACTGGCATGCTGGCTAATGGTAAATATTGTGTATATTAATATATTTTAGTTGGCAAAAACTTAGTCTGTTCAGAGTTGCATCTAAATGATTCTGAATGAATCACTCTGTCTTTGTTTTTTAATATGTCTAGTGAAAGTTCACAGCTTTTCTCAATACTATGTGCCTTATGACTATCTTGAATCCTTCATGTTATATTTAAGAATATTTCTTTTTTAAAAGCCCAGGACCACATGGCTTCATGGGTGAATTCTACCAAACATTCAAAGAACAATTAATACCAATCCTTCGTACATTCATCCAAAATAGAAGAAGAAGGAATACTTCCAAACTCATTCTGTGAGGCCAGGATCACTCTGATACCAAAACTAGAGAAAGACACCTCATGAAAAGAAAACTACAAGAAAACAATCCCATTTAAAATAGCACCAAAAAGCACAGAATACTTAGGAATAAATGTAACCAAGGAGGCAAAAGATCTGTACACTGAAAACTGTAAAACATGATGAAAGCAATTGAAGCAGAAACAAACAACTGGAAAGATATTCCATGTTTTTGGATTAGAAGAATTAATATTGTTAAAATGTCCATATTACCCAAAGTGATCTACAAATTCAGTGCAATCCCTATCAAAATTCCAATGGCATTTTTCACAGATAGAAAAAACAATCCTAAAATTCATATGGAACCACAAAAGACCCCAAATAGCCAAACCAATCTTAAGAAAGAAGAACAATGCTGGAGGCATCACACTTCCTGATTTTAAGCTATGTTACAAAGCTATAGTAATCAAAACATTGTTGTATTGGCATTAAAAACAGACATATAGATCAATGGAACAGAATAGAGAGCCCAGAAATAAACCTGTGCATATATGGTCAATTAATTTTTGACAAATGCACCAAGAATACACAGTGAGGAAAGGATAGTCTCAATAAATGGTGTTTGGAACACTGGCAGCCACATGCAAAAAATGAAACTGAACCCCTGTCTTACACCGTACTCAAAAACCAACTCAAAGTGGATTAGAGGCTTGAACATATGACCTGAAACTGTAAAACTCCTAGAAGAATACATAGGGGGAAATCTTGACATTACATTTGGCAGTGATTTTTTGGATTTGACACCAAAAGCAAATGCAACAAAAGCAAAAATAGGTAGGATTACATCAAACTGAAAAGCTGCACAGGAAAGGCAACCACCAAGACAATGAAAAGACAATCTATGGAATGGGAGAAGATATTTACAAACCACATATCTGATGAGGGGTTAATATCCAAAATATACAAGGAACTCATACAACTCAATAGCAAAAAAAACCAGATAGCCCAATTAATAGACATTTTTCCAAAGAAGCGGTACAAATGGCCAACAAGTATATGAAAAGATGCTCAACTTCACTAATCCTTAGGGAAATGCAAATCAAAACCCCAGTGAGTTATCACCTCATACCTGTTATGAAGGCTGTTATCAAAAAGATAACAAATGCTGACAAGAACATGGAGAAAAGGGAACCCCTGCGCACTGTTGGTGGAAATGTAAACTGGTACAGCCACTATACTGTGGAGGTTCCTCAAAAAATTAAGAACAGAACTACTGCATGATCCAGCATTCCCACTCTGGGTATACATCCAAAGGAAACGAAATCATTATCTTGAAGAGATAGCTATGCTCCATTGTTCATTGCAGCATTATTCGCCATAGCCAAGGTATGGAAACAACGCAAACATCTGTTGATAGGTGACTGAATAAAGAAATGTGTTATGTATATATATTACTATTTAGCCTTAAAAAAGAAGGAATTCTGCCATTTGTGACAACATGGATGAACCTGGAGGGCATTATGCTATGTGAAATCAGCCACACACAAAGAAACAAATACTGCATAGTACCACTTATGTGCCGAATCTAAAAAACAAAAGTCAAACTCATAGAAACAGAGTAGAATGGTAGTTTCCAGGAGCTGGAAGAGTGGTGGGGGAAATGGGGAGAGGTTGGTAAAAGGGTACAAACTTTCAGCTGTAAGATGAATAAGTTCTGAGGATCTCATGTATAACATGGTGACTGTAGTTAATATTGTATTGTATAATTGAAATTTGCTAGGAAAGTAGAACTTAAATATTCTCACCAAGAAAAAAAAGGTAAATGTATGAGTTGATGGATGTATTAATTAACTTGATTTTGAAAATCCTTTCACAATGCATACATATATCAAATCATTAAATATATTACAATTTTATTTGTCAATTATGCCTCAGTAAAGTTGGGGAAAAGAAAAAGATGATTAATTGACAAAAGAAAATGTAATTTACACAGTCCCAATCAGTGGTATGTTGATATATGTAAATACTTCTTGTAAATACTTCTGTCTTAGTTGATTTCAAGATATCAATGTGATGAAACAGTATGAAGGTGTTATTCAGATACAATTGATGTGAATTACTTCAAAGTAGTTAACAATAGATGTAGTAAAGTAATTAAGAAGCAAAAAAGAAAACAGAAAGAAAGGGAAACTGCAGGCCAGTATCCCTGATGAATACGTGCAGAAGTTCTTGATAGGGCCGGCCCCGTGGCTTAGTGGTTAAGTGCGTGTGCTCCGCTACTGGCTGTCTGGGTTCAGATCCTGGGCGTGCACCGACGCACCGCTTGTCCGGCCATGCTGAGGCCGAGTCCCACATACAGCAACTACAAGGATGTGCACCTATGACGTACAGCTATCTACTGGGGCTTTGGGGGGCGGGGGGAAGGAGGAGGATTGGCAATAGATGTTAGCTCAGAGCCGGTCTTCCTCAGCAAAAAGAGGAGGATTGGCATGGATGTTAGCTCAGGGCTGATCTTCCTCACAAAAAAATAAATAAATAAATAAATAGAAAAGAAGTTCTCCATAAAATACTAGCAAACTGAATTCAGCAGCACATTAAAAGGATCCTACACCATGATCAAGTGGGATTTATCTCTAGAGTGCAAGGATGGTTCAACATATGAAAATCAATGTGATACAACAGATTAACAACATAAAAGAAATAGCCACCTGATCATCTCAGTATACACAGAAAAAGCATTGGACAAAGTTCAACATCCATTCATGATTAAAACTCAACAATATAGAACTTCCCTCAACACAACAAAAGCCATATATGAAAAGCTGACAACTAACGTCATAATCAAAAGGAAAAAACTGAAAGCTTTCCCTCTAGATCCAGTACAAGGCAGGGGTGCCCATGCTCCCACTTTTATTCAACATGGAACTAGAAGTCCTAGGCAGAGCATTTAGACAAGAAAAAGAAATGAAAGGCAGCCAGATAAGAAAGGAAAAAGTAAAATTATCTCTATTTGCAGATGGTGTGATCATATGTGTAGAAAACTCTAAAGACTCAACAAAAGAAAAACTGCTAGAACTAGTAATGAATTCATTAAAGTCGCAGGATACAATATCAACATATGAAAATCAATGTCCTTTCTATACACAAACAACAAACTATCTGAAAAGGAAATTAAGAAAAACAATCTCATTCACAATAGCAACAAAAAGAGTAAAATTCTTAGGAGTAAACCTAACCAAAGAGGTGAAAGACTTGTATGCTGAAAATTATAAAACACTGATGTGGAAAATTAAAGAAGACACAGATTAATGGAAAGACATCCCATGTTCATGGATTGGAGAAATTCATATTTTTTAAATGTCCATACTATTCAAAGTGTGGATATACAAACCACAGTTCTACAATTCAATCCCTATCAAAATCCTAATGGCATTCTCCACATAAATAGATAAAACAATCCTAAAATTCATAGGGAATTACAAAAGACCCCAAATAGCCAAAACAAGCTTGGACAAGAAGTAAAAAGCTGGAGGCATCACACTCCCTGGTTTCAAAATATATTGTGAGGCCACAGTAATTAAAACAGTGTGTTACTGGTGTAAAAACAAACATATAGACCAATGGAACAGAATAGAGAACCCAGAAATAAATCCACACGTCTGTGGTCAACTGATTTTCAACAAGGGTGCCAAGAATATACAGTGGGGAAAGAAGAGTCTCTTCAGTAAATGATGTTCAGAAAACTGGATATCCATGTGCAAAAGAATGAAATTGGATGCTTATCTCACGCCATGTACAAAAGTGAACTCAAAATGGATTAAAAACTTAAATGTAAGACCTGAAACTATAAAACTTTTAGAAGAAAACAGGAAAAAATTTCTTGACATTGCCCTAGGCAATGGTTTTTTTGGTATGATCCCAAAAACATTGGCAACAAAGACAAAAATAGACAAATGGGATCACATCAAACTAAGAAGCTTCTGCATAGCAAAAGAAACAATCAGTGGAGTGAAAAGGCAACCTACAGAATGGGAGAAAATATTTTTAAAGCATATGTCTGATAAGGGATTAATGTCCCAAATATATAAGGAACTCATGCAACTCAATAGCAAAAAGCAGATAACCCAATTAAAAAATAGGCACAGGACCTGAATAGACATCTTTCCAAAGAAGACATACAAATGGCCGACAGGTACATGAAAAGATGCTCAACTTCACTAATTGTCAAGGAGATGCAAATTAAAACCACAATGAGATAATCACTTTGTACCTGTTAGAATAACTGTTATCACAAAGAGGAAAGAAAACAAGTTTTGGTGAGGGTGTAGAGAAAAGGGAACCCTTATGCACTGTTGGTGGGAATGTAAACTGGTATAGCCACTATGGAAAACAGTATGGAGGTTACTAAAAACATTGAAAATAGAATTGTCTTATTATCCAGCAATCCCACTTCTGGAGATATATCTTGAAGAGATATCTGCACTCCCATGTTCATTTGGCATTATTCACAATAGCCAAGATATGGACACAACCTAAATGTCCATCAACATATGAATGGGTAAAATAATATGCATATATATATAAAAATATTATTCGCCTTAAAAAAAGAAGGAAATCCTGCCATTTGCGACAGCATAGATGCACGTGGAGGACATTATGCTAAGTGAAATAAGCCAGATGCAGAAAGACAAATACTGCACAAGCTCACCTATATGTGGAATCTAAAAATGTCAGATTCATAGAAACAGATTAGAATGATGGTTAGCAGAGGCTGAGGGAGGAAGATATGGGAAGATGTTGGTTAAGGGGTACAAAGTTTCAGTTATAAGTTACAAGAGAAATAAGTTCTGGAGAGCTAGTGTACAACAATATGACTATATTTAACAAAAGTGTATTGTGTACTTGAAATTTGCTAGCAGGGGCAATCTTAAGTGTTCTCACAACACACCCAAAAAAATGTAACTAGGCAAGGTGATGGATGTAAATTTGCTTGATTGTGAATATTTCACAGTGCATGCATATATCAAATCATCAAGTTCTATACCTTAAATATATACAATTCTTAATTGTCAACTATACCTCAATAAAGTCGAGGGGAAAAAAGAAATTTTTTTTGTTATTTTTTTCAGGGCTTTTGACTTCCACATATAAAAATACATTAAACCTACCTATTTATGTTGATGTACGCCTACTCTCTTGAATGTTAAGACAAAAATCATGCTTATTAGAGATGTATGATTATATACTCTTTATATGTAAACCCTTATTTTTATATGGATTGCATATGATTAAAATATTTTCTTAAAGGAATCATATAAATGTCTCTACATTCCTAATTTCTTTTATGTTGTTCCAGTGGTGCTGCTTGATTCATTGGACTCTGTTGCAGAGGTCAACCTTGATGAGCAGGATGGAGCAACAGCTAAGCCAAAGCCAGAAATGACTGATAATGAAATGACAAGAACAGGTAAAAATGTTTGAAAAACTCATTATTCTCTAAATGTGTAATATTTTATGACTAATTGACTTCATTTCTAGGGAAAAATATATAATGTATAATAACTATATTGACAATACAATTTTAAATCTGACATTTTCTACCGTATTTAACAACTTAAATAATCTGAACTTGCTAATGGTGACACTTAGTAGGCCAAATAAAGTGTGTTTTTAAATAAATACTTATTAATAAATGAATGAATGCTGTTGATACAAAGAGTAGCATGGTAGGTGAATATTAACTAATTTTCTGTCCTCTAGAGTATTCAGTTAAATTTGTCCTGTATAGGAGAAATGAGACTTAGGTCTTACTGTGCTTTTCCGTAGTTCCCTTCATGTAGGAAAAAGCTAGATCACATCCCAAAATTCTGAAATGCTTAGGACCATGTTGACTTAACTAAAGATTGTAAAAGTCTTTAAGGCAATGCCTTTTCAAACGTTTTTAACACAGTGGAATCCTTATCTCCAAGTGAAATCTTATGTAGTACTCTTCATATAGATAAAAATGGTATTTTATCAGTATAAATGTAAATGTTTACATTTGTAACATTTACTTATGAAATTAGAGCAATAATGGTCTTTTGAAATTTTTGAAATCAAAAGTTATAGATATTTGTTATATTCTCATGTCACCTTCAGACTTCAAATATTTGTATATTTTGTTTTTGTTGTATAATATGAAAATATTCTTGACTTACCACTTAAATAGTTGCAAATGGGAATCGTTTAATCAGCTTACGTCGCGAGTCTCAGTTGACCAGTACGGTCAACTATAAACCAATTCAGACGTGGAAAAAAAGAGCAATAGAAATGATAACTCATTTACCAATTTTGAACATCTGCTTACATTTCATTTTATTTCTTATTTCTTTTTACTTTTTTATTGAAGTATAATATCCCTGTAGAAAAGTTCATGTATCATAATCATGCACCTTGATGAATTTTCAAATACTGAACACACCCATGTAGCCAGCAACTAGATCAAAGCACAAAACATGACCCATACCACGAAGTCCACTCTGATCTCTTGTTTCTAGTCAGTGCTATTCCAAGAGTCACCACTATCCTGACTTTTTTATCCACTTCTATTTTAAAATATAAAAGTCAAAAAATTACAACAGAATTTTCCCATCAAGACATGTTACTCATTTACTTGTTATTATGCAACTGAATATTCTGCTATGATGAAAGCATGTGCTGGGCACATGTTCCCCAGTCTTACTGCTGTTTATTTAAGTACATGTCACATGTGTGCTGTGATAGTGGATCCACTTGCACGTTTTTCAGTAAGCAGACGTGAATTCCTTTAAAGGACCAATGTGGAGCTACAGCTTTTCTCATCAGTGATACATTATAGGAAGTTCGTATAAGTACAGGATGGCCAGAGAAACTGTATTCTAAGATATACATGAAAACAAAGCAGGAGGCAAAAGTTAGCACTCTGATGATGTTCAAAATATTACAGTTACATAAAGGGCACATTTGAGTTTGCAGATTAATTTCTGTTATAGTTTTTAAGTTTTATAGCATGATTTAAAATGAAATTTCAATCAGACATCTTTGGAACCCATGATTTTCTCTGAAACCCCGATTTTGTAAAATATAGTATGAAAACTGCTGCTGTAGTTTATAAGAAAAACTCAGAAATAAAAAATGTATTGCTGGAAGTAAAAATTCTGTTTAAGATGATCCAAGCAGTTATATAGTTATAGTTTTTTGGTCGTATTTCTTAAATGTTTTTGATTCTGAAATATTTTGATGAGTCAATTACTGACAGATAGTAGAGTGTGAACTTATTGTCATATAGGCTTTGATTCATCTTCCCAGCCTTGCCAGTTATCAGCTGGGTGACATTGGACACTTAGTGCTCCTAAGCCTGTTTCCGCTTCTTTAGAACGAGACCTTGTGATAGTCAACTGAGATAATATGGCGTGCCTAGGACATTGTTCAGATTCAGCAAGCAATAGCAACTCTATGGTTGTTACCATTACTGTAATTTATGTCTACTCTCTGTTAATAGTACAAGTTACAATAAAGAACCTGAAGGGACTCAACACAATGCTCATTGTCTGTTGGGTATTGAATCTACCTAGTATTTCAAAAATACACTTGAAAATCTTCAAATCAGCATCTGAACTTGGTGTAAGAACTGAAAAGATCAGTGGGGGTGTTTTTTTGTTTTACCATGTTTCTTCCAGTATTAAGCAGGCTCAGATTAGGTGATACATTGTCAAAGAGCTTCTTTTTTTAATACTATTACTTATGACATTCTTTGTGCTTTATTGTAGTAAAAAGACTGTAGCTATAAAAAGGAAGTTTTCGTAACACCAGGCTGGATCTAGCCTTTCGCTTGTTTTCATTTGTCACGCGGGCAGGTACCATTTTGTGCTGTGGCTGCGTGACTGGAGCAGTCACGGGTTGACAGTACTGCTCTACCACTAGACCCTCGCCCCTGCAACATAGGATTTGATACTGCTCAGCTTTCTAAAGTGGAGAAATACAGGGAGCTTTTGACTATAGTAATATGTAAAATAACTACATGGAGTACTCTTTCTAATGTAAAAGGCAGAGAAGTCAGCCCTTTACTTTTCTCTCGATAAAATGCTTGGAAAGGGGCCGGCCTTGTGGTGTAGTGCTTAAGTTAGGCACGCTCCGCTTCGGCAGCCGGAGTTCAACAGGTTTGGATCCTGGGCGTGGACGTACACCACTCATCAGCCATGCTGTGGTGGTGACCCACATGTAAAGTAGAGGAAGATTGGTACAGATGTTAGCTCAGGGCTAATCTTCCTCAGCAAAAAAAAAAAAAAAAAAAAAACCTTGGGAAAAGTTAACTTCTATGACCCTGGAATTATTTTTAATACCACTTGAATTAATGGCTCAAGTTAGGAGAAAAGTATCTTTCCCCTGCTCTGTTTTCTGAGCAGTCCTTAATACCTCTCTATCCTCCATTTCTAATTTCTAACTTTCAGGTCATTTGTTTTTCTACATGTTTTCTACTGTTGCTTTAAAGCCTGGAACCTCTGTTTTCTGACACCTCACACCTGTGGTAAATTAGTTATGAGCATTCAGTACTGCCTTGCTGTTTACCATTTGGGGTCTTTTCTTCTATATATACTCAGCAGATACTTAAGCATCTTGGTATTTCTGTAGAGGAGGGAAAACGCCTTGTGCCTTTTTCCTGTCTTCATGAGCTTAACTCTGTCCTCAGTCATGCTCAGTCATGGATGGGTTAGGGGAATGTTAGGCTGACCTTAACAGGCAAGAACTTTTTCTTCAAGTCCTGTTAGAAAATCCCTGCCACTTAACCATTAGTGATTCTAATGGTTAGTTAGAATCCCCCACTTTTTTGTTTTTAATTTATTTAAGCGAATCTATTATTTTTGGGGCATGCTCCAGATAGCACTGGTGACCTGAAGCATTAGATAGAAAGATATCCCATTGTAAGGCATTCTTACACAATCTTATATGGGGTCACTTGGCTCAAAAATAGCGCCTCGGAATTGTATACTATATAACCTGCAGTTTATATAGGGGAAGATGAGTGTGTATTCACCATTTTATTTTTAAGCGTTAATTACTTAATCATGGATGTCAAGAGAAGAGGAGGCTGGTCACCCTATTTCTCTTTTGTTTCCCACTCTTCTGTGACTTCTTTATTCTTTAATTTTGAGAATTCCACTGTTAGTAATGAAAATTACAGAATGAGTAAGAAAATACTCATAAAAATCATAGATCATTATTGTCATTAGATTCTTTGAATTCTTTTTTCCAGGATTTATGTATCAATTGGTGGCAGGAGGAGGAGGGTAATAGGGAAGGAAGAAGGAATGATGACATCAAATTTTCTATTTTGGATGACTGGGTACATAGTGATGCCATTAGCTACAATAAAAATCTGGTAGTAGAACAAGTTTTGTTATAATAATATAATAATAATAGTATAATAATGAATTCAGTTGGGGATATGTTAGATGTGATTTACTCATAGAACAATCTAAATATCTGTTAGTTTAATATTCAGAAAAGAGATAAGGACAAAAGACAGATTTGAGAGTCATGATCATATGGGTAATAGTTGAAGCTACGGATCTTGATGAAATTAGGCCAAAAAAATAAGTGAGAAATTTAAAAAATAGGGCTAACGAGGGAGCCGTGAGATGAGCCATTACCATAAGGGGTGGAGAAGTAGCCATCAGAGTGGTGGGAAGAACAAGGAGAAGGAATGCAGAAGAAACAGTTCCCAGGAAAAGGACAGTGTCACATGTCTCACAGTGTTGAAGAGAACCGATGAGGGCTGGATTTGGCTGTTAGGAAATTGCTTTTGATTGTAGCAGCTTTAGCAGGATGTTGGGACACATCTTGGATTGCAAAGTTAGAGGGGTGGATAGCAGTTGAAGAAATGCAGGCTACAAGATGCTTGGTGGCACAGGGAAGCAGAGAGAGTGATAGTGGTCAGGAAGAGGCAGAATCCTTGAAATGATTGTGGCAGTGTGGGAATTTTAGGAATAGCTTTATCCAGTGCAGGGCGGTTGATTAAGGGTAGTAGGAAGAGAAGGCAGTAACCAGTGGAGCCAGATTTTACAGTTACCATGTCAGAACACATCTCAACTTGCTGAAAAGAGTCATTGATAGGCTATAGCTATCTATTACCTACGTTTGTCTTTACCTCTCTCTTTATAATGTCCCTGTTGTCCTACAGCCTTGTTCATCGTTCCTAGCAGACTAAGGGGTGATATTCGTGTTTTATCTTTCTCGTGTATTTGTGTAATTACACTGGAGATGACGTTTATTTCAACAGGTATTTCTTATGGACAAAGCAATAGTGACATTGAAGCTCTACATCAGGCTTATTGTCATATAGCCCATTCTTTGGGGGATGCAGATGAACAAAGAATTGAGAGGAATGCAGTAGAAAATATCAAGAGCTCAGTGAAAGATCGTCCTCAAGAAAATGAAGAGTCCTCTAAAAACATCTCTACCACAGAATCTGGTAAAAGCTTAGTTACTTGAGACCATCTCTGAACAGTTTGCAGTTTAGTGTAATTTAAGTACAATTTGCTATAGTGATTGTTTCTCAGCATCTTAATTTGTTTAAAGGGTTTACTCGAATGAAATCTAGGAATCATTGGTTTAACTGTAAAGTTAGAGCTAAACGTGGGATAAAATTTCAATTCTTCCTCCAATATGCCTTGACCAAATTAAGATATCACTCAAGTGTTTTCACATTTTTTACTCTTTTCCATGTACATATACTAAAGTTATTTTTTAAATAGAGAGCAATATTTTGGGATCAACTAAATACATATTTAGCAAATATGTATGTATGTGTCTCTTGGATACACACATACACATATACATGAGATATATATGTCTATACAGCTAATGTATAGATATATGTATTTCAAATATAAATATCAAAGGAGGTTTTCTTGGTAAGCAGATTTACAGTGGGAATCCAGATTTACTGTATGGCTATTTTGTTAACTACGTCCATCAGAGAAAATGTAATTTTGGTTGTATTAGCCATTAAATTAAACAATTTGCATAACATTTTTTGGTTGCTATTTTAACTGTTTTCTCCTCTAGATCTGCCCACAGTAGAGGAGCTGATGAAACCTATCAGAATAGATTCCTTTGGGGTCGGTGGTTTTGATTTACAACCTGTCAGGTATGAGTTTTTTGAAATGGATTGTGCAGGTTGGTTGTTTGTTTATTTATTGTTTTGTCACTGGAAACTGGTAGAATCATTTCTTCTACGTAATCATTCCTGGTGAATGATTAATGGGTAGCTTGTATGAGTCTGCCCATGAGTCACTACTCTCTTCTTTTCATATTAGCCCTTACTCAATTAGTTCATGAAAATTCTTCTAAAGCTAAAATTAAAAAAAAATAAGTGATTCTACTAAAAAAGTTGCTGTCATTAAGTAGTCTTAAAGCTTTTCACTGGAAAATACAATCCCCTCAGCTTTTAATAGCTTGGGGACAGTTGATTCCAGTGGTGAGAGGGAGCATGAATTTTATTCTGTGTATGTGAGTCTTAGATTTGTTTCTTTATAAACCAGTCAGTTTTGGACTTAGTCTCACAATGTGAGTTCTTTGCTCACAGGAGAAATGGGCTTCGTGAAAACGCTGCAGCTCCAGTACATTTAAGCTTGTGGGACCTCATTGTCATTCTCCCACACACAGAGTAGCTCGTCACAGTAACCTTGTCGTAAGACAACTTTGCATTTGTGTAGCACTTAGAGTCACATCCATTATCTCATGTGATCCTCATAACAAGTAGGACAGGCGTGTTTATTCCCGCCATTCAAGTGATGACACTGAGGTGAACTCAGTTTAGTGGTGGAGCTCTCACAAGATTATGATGATGATGATGATAACGATGATAACACTAACATTTTTATCACATGCTTACTGTGGGCCAGGTGCTATGTGTTCCTTACATACACTGTTTCATTTAATCTTACAGCAACTCCATGACGTGTATTCCATTATTATCCCCATTTCATAGATAAGAAAAGTGAGTCTTAAAGAGGTTAAATAAATTGCACAAGATCGTATGGCTGTAACCAGGGAAGACAGGAAGTCCATGTGCTTAACCAATTACGTTGTCATATCTTTGATGTCCTTGAAATATTTCTGTGAAAAGCTTGTGATCCATTCATGCATTCATTCACCCGTTTATACCCATTTATGTCTTCAGCAGACACATTTTGAGCCCCTTCTTGTGCCACATCCTCGTCATGTAAATCCACTTGCAGTGATTTCTTGGCCTTGTTTCTACATTTGTACTAGTTGAGCAGAAATGATGCAGTGAAGCTTACACTAAAACTCATCTGCTTGAATGCTAAGTCTAGTATTCTTCCAGTGATCTGCAGTGCTAGTTATTATTTTTGTAGGGCAGATTGTGCTCATTCGTCATTGCTGTTTGGGGCTGAGTGTTACTGAAGAGATTTTCTACACCATCTTGTGTCTTTGTTGGCATAGGTGGAACCGTTTTACTTTTGAAGTCTAAAACATAGATTTTTACATTTGTGTTTAAAAACTGAAAATAAGTATACTTGCATTAAAGGCATAACAAAAATTATAGAAATATCAGTGGTATAAACTTTAGTACATATATCTGAAAACTCTTTAGTAAACTGTAGGGTAAATAATCTTAGCTGCTGTAACAGATATTCCTTGAAATTTTAGTAGCTTAACGTCATCAAAAATTTATTTCTTGCTCATACCTATTCCCATGTGTGGCAGTGGGTTTGGGGTGGTCTCTGCTCCACACAGTCGTTTAGGGACCAGGCTTCTGCTGTCATCAACACATGGTTTTAAGGTTGTCATGGCCTCATCCACCCAGTCAATAAGGGGGAGAAAAAGGATGGTTTAGCATACTTTCTCTTAACTGCCTCAACACAGAAGTATTACATCACTTCAGCTGACATTCTTTTGGTAAGAACCAGCACAACCAGCTAAGATCTAAGAGGGCTGGGAAATGTGGTTTCCTTGTGTGCCCAGGAAGGAAAATAAAAAATGAGTTTGATAGGCAACTAGCCAGTCTCTACCAGAATCTACCCTTCTAATAGCCAAGTACCCATTTCACTCTTCTTCATATACAGACCCACTCACCCGCTCCCCAAAGCAGGCAGCCCAAAGTCCCATTCAGGACTGTCCTTCTGAAAGGCCGGGATTTCCAGGTGAAGCATGGTCCTCTCCATCAGTTTTGATTGTGGCTCCTCATTGTTTACTAATCGATGAATTAAAAAGACAAGTTATATACTTCCTCACCTCCACCCAATACGCAATGGTGAAACTGCAACAAATACTCCCATTCAGAATGAAAGGAAAAGAATAAGGAAAATACTGAAATTGGTATTGCAACTTTGAAATCCACTGGTAAGGCGTTTTAAAGATCCCCCACCTTGCAGGTGGGGGTCTTCCTTAATGAGGCCATCATTCTGCTCTTGAGGAACTGTCTTATAAATATGTCATTCCACATAGCTCCTGGTTCCACTTCGTGGAGGGCTTGTCTTGTATTTTATTGCCCTTGGCCACAGCTGCAGTGGGTTTTGGGGGGAGGATATGCCCGTCTTGGAGGATGCGCTCCTTTCTCAGTCCCCTTCCTGCCTGTAGGTGGTTTTAAGACTCCCAGTCACTGGCTTTTTTTTTTTTAAAATAAGGTGGTGGATTCTTTAGCATTACAGTTCCTTCATAAAGTTTAGTAGGCTCCTGATCTGTCTGGTTCCAGTCAGTCCCATGTGCCAGTAACGACACTTCAAGTTGTTTGTTGGACAGAGATTTTAAATCTACTTGATGTCTTTGCTTCCCTGTCCCTCTATTTTTTCCCTCAATTTAATTGCAGCTCTCTGGATATTATAGGGAACAATAACCTTAGTGGGACGATGACATTTTTAATGTGATCTTTGCCAAGGGACTGAGTCACTCTTTTCAACCAAGAAGTCTCATGACATCTTGCTTTTTTGTAGCATTTTTCAATGCCAGATCTTAGTATTTGAGTCTTGACACAGAGAGTGGACCCAAGAGGCCCTGAGTTTCTAGATTCTCTCTGTTGCCTTTGATTTCTTCTTACAAACCAGCCCATTCTATCTTGAGCTTGTCCTTCTTTTAATAATATCTTGTCACAAGTAGCCAATAGTAGCTAGTACTTAAAAACTCCCTTTACTCTCTGGCCATTTCTCTTAGTTCCCCAGACTCAGTAGGCATGTGGTCTGCCTTACAAACTATTGTAGGTGACAGTTTAGCAAATGTTTTGCCAGCGTAAAACATGGGATGCCACCTCTCCAGCCTCTATATCAGTTTCCTTGCCATGCAAAACCCAACCACTAAGCCAATGACACATTATTTAGGTTCTTGTCACCATAGCAGTCACATTCTAAAGGCCAGAACTGTCAGATCACCCCATCTAGATGCACGGCAGCAAGGAAAGGTAGTTTAGTTGGTACGCAGCAGAGAGGAAACAGTTTTGATGAACGTCTAACTAGGCTCTGCTGCCAGGAAGAAGGAAAGAACTATTATATTTTCTGATGATTCCATGTACTTTAGAAGCTTCTAGCAGTTACTGAGAGGCCAGTCTACCTTACATGAAAATGGTAGCCTCTTAAACTTTTCTTTTGTTTTATAAATTACAAAATTAAATGACATGATTAAGTAGTTTGAAATAACAATATCCATATTTTTAAAGCCCCCATAATATGCTGATATTTAACCATATTTAGAACATTTCCTTAAGGGATAGTTCCCATATTTTTAAAATCTAATAGTCTGAAATGTTAGATTGCATTTAAGTGTTTTAAACCACAGAAATTATTTTATTTCAAAATTTTAATGATTTTTCTGTTTTACTTTAAAATTTTTCCTATACTGTGATGAAATTTATGCTTTTTAATATTTATGTTCTATACCTCATTGACATAAATTATGATTACTTGTTTAGTTTCTTCTAGAAATGTAAAAAATGTTTTTTTTCTGCTTTAAATGCATGTTGACTTTGTAAGATATTATGGATAAAAGATATATTACAAAAGTGTATTTAGAAATTCATATTTTATTTATACAAAACCAGTCTCAGTCTTGTTTGGTTTCTCTTTCCTTTGAAGTAGGTCTCAGAGTCAGCCATGTAACCCCTTATATTATATTAAATATATATATAGTGTGTGTGTATATTTATGTTAATAAAATTGATATTTGAAGAGTCATATAAGGTCTATTCTCTGTCCTATTTTGTTTTATAGCTATAAGAAACTGGCTGATAGTAAAGACACTAAATTTGTAAGCTCTTTACCCATTAAGATGAACCCAAATGTTATGTCTCAAGAGTCACGAAATGTGAACCAGTTTTTTGATAAAAATGAAGAGAATGTGATTTTACAAAAGACAACAAATGAAGGTATAGAAAATAGCTGTCCAAGAGTAAATGCTACAGAAGAACATGTAGATAAAATGTACCTTGATATTTTAAAGAAAAAAATATCTGTTGGTCCTTCATTATTACCTCAGGATGACAAAATAAATAAAGTAAGTGTTTATAATCTAAATTGATTTTACTTATTGATAAATGCAGTTATATAAGTACTATTGATAAGCATGTACTTAGGCTAGTGGGATTTATTACGTGCTAACCTCCACATAAATCCTGGATGTTTGTGAGCAATATTTATTATAACACCCTGCAGTCCCCACATTCAAAAATACCATTCTAGCATTAGCTTTCTTTTAGAAGCCATTCTTTACATTTTTCATTTTTTCAGTAAACATAGTCCAGAATTTGAGTAGTATAAGAAAGTAAAGTTTATTCATCATTCTAGTGCTTTTCATTCAATCTTTTCTGCTAAACTAGGTAGGTTGACATTTCTTATAAATGCTTTAGCAACTGCTGAGAAGCTTATATTTCACTGTTCTTTTTTTTCTTCTGTTCTTGATCTATTATGATTCATAGTTTTCATGATCCCAGTATTCTATTTTTATTTTACAATTTTGAATTATGTGTTTACCATAAACTATCTCCAGTTCTTTGTGGAATAAGGCAAGGTATCAGTAAATTTTTATCTTGAGAAACCTGGAGGAAAAAAAGATAAGATTTTATGTCATTTCAAAATATGTTCTTCCCTGTTCTCTTCCGTGTTCATTCTAGTAATTACACATCTTGCTTTCCGGCAAGCTTATTTTGTTTTATTATTTTGCTTTGTTTTACTCCTGACTTTGAAGATGTGCTTCAAAATACTAAAATTTCGATGATTTAGACTTAGAGAACTTTAATGTAGTGGTTTGCCTTCTACAGACTACGTTACTTAGTAATCACTATGGTTTTCCATCTGTTAAATCTTCATTTACACCCATAGCTGAAGTCCACTTAAGTGCTAAAGAGTTTGTACTTGTTCTGCACAGATTTTTAAACCTCAACTCGGTTCTGGAGATGAAGGAGCTGTAATTGGTAAACAGGTGCTGTACAAGAAGGCCAAAAGTGCACCTCCTTTACTTAAAAGAAAACCCCAGAGTGGATTATATGCATCAGTTAGGAGCTCAGGCTATGGAAAATCCTGTTCACCGTTCAAGACATTTTCTACTCTTGAAAAGAAAACTTCAAAGGACATTATGAAAAGCAAAAACTTGAGATCAATTCCCACCTCAAATCAAGCGAGGAAAAAAGGTAATCATATACTCTTTGTAATAGAATTCTCTGCATATAGTGTATTATTTTACTTTTCTTGTTCTCTACTTTCCCTGTTTCCTTCTTTGAACTTTCCATATTCATAGAAAAAAATTAATCTTAAGGTACTGTGTTCCAATTCTGAAAGATTAAATTTACAGGAGGTTTTCCATCATTAGTTCTAGGCTTTCCCAAATGAGACCCATAAAGTATAGGAAGTGAATAGAAGAGAGGAGAGTCAAATCCCTCCTCATCTGGTTGGCTTTGTAATATCCAAATATTTACCAAAGGAGAGCTATAAATTCAGAATGCAAGTAGCAACCTACAAATGAAGGTTGATACAGAGATTATCTAGATATTGGTTCATTGTAGACTTGGAGAGGCAGGATGTTTTATATGTCACCTAATGTATATTGTTATATATCACAGTGCCTCTGTTAGTTATTTCCTAATGTAGTCATTTATATTGACAGTAGGAAAGGGTAATTTTCAGCTTAAAAGCCCATGAAGCTATTAAAAGGAATAGAAATGTGCAGGTCAGACCAACATTTCTGCTACCTTTAGACTCCAGTGGAGAAGGGAGAGTAATGGAGCCAGAAGCATGTGTCCTTTCCTTTGTGATTACATTGAAGGGGTAACCAATTTCGCCATTGTTGTATGGTGATAGTTGTCAGAGGAGAACTACCCTCATCAGAAAACTTATTTCTAGCTTAAAGTGTCTTCCTTTGCCTTTCCCTACAACTGTCAATTCCAGGACAACTTTGACTCTATTTAAAATTCTTTAGGCATTACAGACTCTCCTGTCTGTATGGGTATGTACTTGCTGCAGCAACCTGTGCACGTAAGATGGAAGGGCTAGAGCTGATCTCTGTCAGAGTGAAGGAGGACAGCAGTAGGGTTGGTTGTTCTGGTGAGACAGGAATATGATTCTATGCCATTAATACAAGCATCCTTTCCTCTTGTTCTTAACCTAGGGACCTCTAATCCTTCCCCTAAGGAGTCTTTTGTGTTCTCTTATTTTTCTGTGGAACATCTGCTTGTGATGTTGTCATCTACTCATTGTTATTAATAATTAACTGCTCATTGGATCTAGTGCTTAATATTAAGAAAAAACACTTGGAACATTTTTCAAACTTTGTAATCAAGAGGAGTGTGAAAATTTTTCAGTGATGTTTTAAGAGTATTCATTCTATACTTTTGGGAGTAGGAAAATAAAAATTTTTTTTTTAATATTATTATGTTTATTTTATATAAATTAATCCCCAAGATTTTTGAAGTTTACTTTATCCAAATTCGTTCAACAAATATTTTTTGAGCACCTACATTGGTCCAGGCCCTGTTAGAGGCCCTTACGATACATCAGTAAACAAAATGGGGAAAGATATCTCCCTTCCCCCATCTCTGTGGAACTTTCATCTGAGGAGGAGAGACAGACATTTAATAATAAGCATAATAAATAAGTAAATGATGTTATATGCTAAGGAAAAATAAAAAGTAGAGCAAGAGTGTCAGTGGTGGAGTGGGGCAGGTCACAATTTTAAATAGGATAGACAGAGTAGGCCTCACTGAGAAAGATTCATTTGAACAGAGACTTAAAGGATGTAGGGAATTGCCTCTGTGGATATCTGGGGGAAGCATATTCCAGAAAGATGAAACAGCCAGTGCAAAAGTCCTAAAGTAGGGAAGAACGCCTGGCATGTTCAAGGAATAGCATAGAAGCTCGTATAGCTAGGGCAGAGTGATCAAAGAGGGTGATAGGAGGTGAGATCAGAGAGTCAAAAGGGCAGGCATATATAGTTTTTCTAGGGCATTTTAAAGACTTAGGCTTTTACTCTGAGTGAAAAAGGCGAGCTGCTGAAAAGTTTTGAGATGGGAGTGACCTCTTCTGACTTATCCTTTAGATGTTTTTTCTGGCTCCTGTGTTGTAGATCATATACATATAAATATATACACATACCATAGGGGGCTTCAGAAGAAGCACAGAGACCAGTTAGAAGGTGATTTTAGGAACCCAGGCTAGAAGTGATAGGGCTTGAACCAGGATGGTGGCAGTGGAGGTAATGAGAAGTGGGTTGGAAAAGGATATACTTAGAAGTTAGAACCAAAAATCCAGAAGATTGGTTGGGGGTTTGAAAGTCATGGATGTCATGGATGATGCCAAAGTGTTTGGGTTGAGCAGCTGGAAGAATAGAGTTACTATCCAGCTGGGATGAAGAAGGCTGTGGTAGAGTAGACTTGGGGGTGGAGGGAAGATCAGGAGTTTAGTTGTTGAGGTGATAATTTTGAGATATTTGTTCTACATGCAAGTGGAGATGACAAGGAGGCAGTTAGAAAACTGTGGCCTTCAAGAGGGAAGCATGAGCTATAGATAGCATTTGGGAAATGTTGTTAAAAACTAATAATTTTTAAAGCCATGAGAGTGACAAAGATGATCAAGAGAGTGAACATAGCTAGAGAAAAAAAGCAAAGCAAGGCTGAGCTCCAGGCATGCTCACCTTAGGAGGTCAGGGAGAAGAAGGGAACCTGCAGGAGGACGGAGTGAGGCTGGAGGACACCTGAGTAGTGGGGTCCTGAAAGCCAAGTGAAGACAGAGGACAGAAGAGAATCGATCTGCTCTGTGAGTTGCTGCTTAGAGAGGAAGAAAGATGAGCACCGACAACTGGCCTTTGGGCTTAGTGAGGAGGAGGTCATCAGTAAATTGGACAAGCAGTTTCCGTGGATTTGTGGCTGTAAAAGGCAAATTGAGTGGGAATAGGAGTGGAATTGGATGCTTCAAGTTATAGCCCACCCTGGAGGAAACGGTGTAAAAGGCAGGGGACAAAGGGGGTGGTAGCTGGCATGGAAGTGGAGTCAAGAGAAGCCTTTTGTTTTGCTTTTAATGGGAGGGGATAATAGTATGTTTATGCTTTTTGGGAAAATTCAGTAGACAGGAAACAATTCATGAGGGAGAGAGGGGGGAAGAATTGCTGGAGCAACGTCCTTGAGTAGAGGAGCTGTAATGGGGTCCAGTGAACATTGGAAGAGTGGCTTTAGGTAGGAACATGGACAGTTCATCTGTGGAAGCAGATGGGAAGCAGGGAGATGTGGGTACAGATACTGGTAGGTGGGGAGAAGTGGTGAGAGAATGGATGATTTCTTCTGACTGCTTCCATTTTCTCTGCAAAATAAAACGCAGTGTTATTAGCTGGCCGTGAGGATGGGGTGGGGTCTTGGAAGAGAGAAGAGAAGACGTGAAATAGCCATCCAGGAGGGTTAGACTGCCAGCAGAAGGAAGACTCTACTTGAAGTTAGTGATCAGGAATTTAAATTGAGACCAGGCAGCATGTGTGTGTGTGTGTCTCTGTGTGTATTTGTGTGTGAACAGCCATGTTTCGATGCACAATTGTAGGTGTTGGGTAGTTGTATAGTTGGATTTACCGAGGGGAGTATTTTTTGCCAAATGAGTACAATGAACTGAGATAGGAGCACCAACGGAGCTAAGGACGTATATGGAATTTAAGTTGAGTAATGAAGGAAGAAAGGACTTCAGGGGGTATGGTACAGTACGAAACAGGTAGGATCAACAGACTGAGTCCCATTGGGGTCAAAAGATTGTTGGAATCCAGGTCCCAGAGGATGTGAGGTGGGAGAGAAGATTGATAGAGAGTAAGCGCCTAAGGCTGTGTGCTACTAGTAATAGGACAAGACCTCGAGGTGGGAGTGAGGAGCTGAGGTGGAGAGAAGTATAAGGAACCGGAAGCCGGGAGTTGAAAGGATCACTTGTGAGTATATCAAAAGGACTGAGAATGAAGCCAACAGTAACGTCGCAGTGGGTGGAAAAGCAACGAGGAGGATGTAGAGGTTGGTAGATGAAGGCAACAATATTTTTATGAGTATTTTTCCCTACTTCAAAATTTTGTAATATTTGTGACTACCAAAATAAAAATAAAACACATCACAGAAATTTATATTCAAGTATAATGATACACTATGACTATCTGTTTTTATACTGAGCTACTTTTTCTCATTAGACTATCTATCAAGTATGATTTTTTTATCTCAGTCTTTTTATTGAAAAATTGCCCAGAGCAATTTTAGTTTTATTCAGAAGAGCTGTAATTCCTTTACGAAGGTTGTTTCTTGTCACAGGTTGCGTTCTCCAAGAAGCAGACTCAGAAATGGAGATTGGTGTACAGAAAGTCTAGAGAATGTACTTGGGACCAATACTGGTTAAGATGGAAAAGAAGGCCAGCAGCTGGGGCTTACCCACCTAAAAGGCTTCTCTTTTTTCGTGTAACAAAGAGGCCAGGGGTAGGCAGTTCAGAGCTGGTGCAGCTGTGCAAGCAACCAGGTCCCTTCTTTCCTACTGCAAAATCCTTAGTCTGTGACTTTTGTCTTCCTGTCGTAAGATGGCTACTCGGCCTCCAGGCCCTGTCGTGAGGAAAGGTGGAAGGTAGAAGGTCCATGCCAGTTAAATTGTCAGCTTCTTAATGAGGAAAGTACACTTTCCTGGAAGCCCCATGTAGGAAGATTTTGCTTTCGTCTTATTGGCCAGAACTTTGATCTTGTGGCCACCCCCATTTGCATGGAATCCAGAGAAATGAGTATTTTTAACTTGGCACATTGCTGCCCGGGGCAAAATTAGTTTTCCGTTCATAGGGAGGAAGAGGAGATTGACAGCTAGCAGTACCTGCCATGTTGTGGTTTTCCTTTTTATTCTAGATGAATTTTCTTTGGCTATTAGCTCTTGTGTTTTTATTTTTAGACTAAAAATTTTATTGTCATGAAAGGAATAGTTGCTCATTATTTAAATTAAAAAATACAGAAAAGTAAAAAGAAGAAAGCAGTGATTTAGCCAGAAACAACTGGTGTCACGCTGAGTGAGCATCATTTCAGGCTTCTCACTGTGTATGTACTTACGCAGATAGCAGAAAGCATGGATGAGTAGATGGAAGGCAGGAGAGAGGCTGACATATGGATAAATGGACAAAACATTCTCTAAGAACGGGATCATACTTTACAAGTTCTTTTTAAATCTAGTTTTACTTAATTTATAAGAAGAAAAAAAAGTTTCATCCTGAGAAATATTATGTCTCAAAAGATCCTTTTAAGAAAATAGAGTATGAAAACCCCTCAAAGGTTCCCAAAACTGTGTTGTTGTTTTTAACTGCATTTTTCAATTTTATCCATTATCAGTTTTCCCTTCTATGAAAGAAAAGGTAGTGAAACTCTTACATCTCCTACTCACATGCCTCTGTCCCATTTTTGTTTTATTTTCACCTGTTCAAGATATATTTATTATATTCTCCCCTCAGCTTTTGGATTTAGATCTTGGGCCTGATTATTAAAGATGTTGAATGTTTTGCACCAGCTCCTTAGCCACAGTTTTTTCATTCTGAAATTATTTTGATTGATTTCTTATTTGACTGAATTTTCCTTCAAGAAGGGCTCATGAGTTCCAAATTCTTCAGTGTTTTCATGTTTGAATTTAATATCCAAGCAAATTTCATTGCATGTGTAAAGGGAAAAGATACTGTGCATGTACCATTATTGACAATAATCACAGAGAAATCAAAATTAAGAACTCAGGAAGGCAGAATTCTGGCATAAAAGCCTTGGCTGACTGCAGCTTGAACAAGAGCCACTGCCACTCTCGGCTGCCACACCCCGGGAGAATCAGTGCCAGCAGATCAGACCCCGTACGTTGGCCATCTTAATGGCCCTCCAGTGACTGGGAAGGATTGATGTCTCCTCTTCCAGTGACTCAGACAGTTTCTTTGTGAATGCTTTAAGAAATTTCTCTAGGAAACCTTCTACATCAAACAGTCCAATTAAAGATGGTTACTATTATATAAGGAAAACCTTTGCATGCCTGGAAAAAAGATTGAAAAGAAACCTTTGGGTGGGGTGCTATTGGTGACTTGTTTCTTCTTTTGACTTTTCTGTATTTTCCAAATCTTTAATAACCATGTGTTTCACTTTCAATGAAAAAGTAAACTTTACATTTAAAAAGTTAGCATCTTGAAGAAATTATATTAAAAATATAAATTTCTAATTCTTCATGTACCTCTAAGGCAATGAGATAAACATTTACTGAGTGTTCAGCTCAGAACCTGTAAGCATTTGAATGTGGGCCTTACGATCTCTTCTAGATATTTCCCTTAAACATTTTTTATTATTAACTGACTAATTTATTGGCCTTAGAATTGTTTCTGCTGGTTGGGGATTCACAAGGTAAATTAAAAGCTGAAAATTTGACCAGAATATGTATTAATCACGTTTTTTTTCTAATTTCAAATATGTTATCAGGGTACTATAACAGTATAATTTTATACTTCTTAAAACAAACTCAGACTAGCTGTTATAAAATTTCCGTGCAGTTTATATTGTTCCATTGATACTATATCTTGATATACATTGCTTATAAAAAATGTGCTTTGAAAACACACTTAATCTGAACTAAAATGCTTCATAGAGTTATCAGCTGCTCTTGGATTCATCATTTAGATGTTCTTGTTATTGCTGTGAACATTTAAAAGAATAATTTATCTAAAAGTAGCAAAGCCTGAAATGATCCCAATCCACATTCTCCTCACATTTATTTCGCTCCATTTGTCATTTGATATGAGTCTTGGGTCAATTAGCCTTCTGTGTCAAATTGAAGAGAATGATGATTATGGTTAGCGGTTCTGAGTGCAGAGAAATAGCTGTGTTGCTATTATACATCAGCCTGTATCTTAGTGTTCCGGTTGTATTAGTACTTATTGTTACAAAATTGCTGAATACACATTCAACTTTGTTTGCATTTTTATCCATTGTTTACAATATTTAGAAATCTTATCTGGAACAAAACTCATCACACCTGCAGCTTTGGGTAAACCAGCTCCCAAAACTGAAAGTTGCCTGGCTACTCCTAAGAAATCTGAAGATCCTACAGAAACTGATTCCTGTGTTCAGTTTCAGAATGTAGGTATTGAATTTCAAAACAATATTCATAATGTTTTTGTGTTCTAAAATCGTATTAAAACTAGATTATAAATAATGAAATATTTATGAAATCGATTTTGTTTCAAGAGTGGTATTCTAATCACTGTTATTGAACACTTATTTTCTTATATAGTAGAACATTATTAACCATGTCATTTTTGTTCTTTGTGTTTTTTAACCACCTGCGTTCGAATCTTTTATGTAAATCTGCTGTAACGAAGTAATGCTTTTCCTTAAAAGGATTCTTCAGGATGTCATGGTGGGAACAAGGAGACAGAATTAATTATGTTTCAAAGAGTTCAGGAAGCAGAGGAAAAATGGAGGGGTGCACAAGCCCTAATTGAGCAAATTAAAGTCACGTTCTCAGAAAAAGAGAGAGAGTTGGAAAATAAGATGGAAGAACTAAAGAGACAACAAGAAAAGGAACTCTTCAGACTGAATCAAGACAATTATATTCTTCAAGCCAAGGTACTAGACACACTGTCCTATTTTTCCTTTCATTGATTAAAAAAGAACTTGTACTCCCTGCTATATGCATAGTCATCCTTTGTTCCCGGAGCTGTTTGGCTTGATGTATTTGTTCCGAGAGTGCCTCCTTACAGAAGAGCCTAAATCCAACCCCTGGGGGAAAAACCGAAATTTTAAATTGGCTCATTTTGATAGTTTTCTTCTGTTAGCAGTCCTTTCTAAAACAAATCCCTTAGTTCACTGTGACCTTCAAGGAAAACAAAGTTTCGGAAAGAACTGCTATGGAAGGTCTAGATTCCGAGTATGACACTGTAGCATTTCTGAGTTACTTCCATCACCAGACCCATCAGCACAGAACATCATTGTAATGATTTAGCTGTAGTTGGTGGTGTGTTCATTCCAGCATGTTACAAGGCAGTTTTAGGTCTATGCATCTTGAGTTTTCTGTTATTCTTCCTCACTTCATCATTTCCTTCCCCAAATAAAACTTCTGCATCTTCTCAAAGTTAAATAGCTTTGAAGAAACAAACAAAAAACAAAGGTGGTTACATTTTGGAGAAATAACTGATCCTGTCACTGAAGAAAAATTGAAGCAAATCCAAAAGGAAATACAAGAACAAGAGACACTTCTTCAGGGATATCAACAGGTATGGTGATTCTTCAGTGCAGCATAAGTTTGTTCTTGAGATCCTTTGATTATAAAAATAAGGCATATTAAAATATTTCTGTGTTCATTTAACTGGTAATGGGAATTCTGGCAAATATGAGGAAGTAATAAGATGACTAGTCTGCACATTTCTCTTGAGCAGAATTAAAGTGGTTAAGAGCATGAGTTTTGAATTCAAAGAATCTGGTTTTAAAGGGGGCCAGCCTGGCGGCATAGTGGTCATTTAACCACTCCACTTCAGTAGTTCTGGGATTCGCGGCTTCAGATCCCTAGTCACGGACCTGTACACTGCTCATTAAGCCATGCTGTGGCGGCATCCTATATACAAAGTAGAGGAAGATTGGCACAGATTTTAGCTCAGGGACAATCTTGTTCAAGCTAAAAGAGGAGGATTGGCAGCAGAAGTTAGCTCAGGGCCAATATTCCTCACCAAAAAAAAAAAAAAAAAGAATCTGTTTTAGTCTTAGCTCACCACCTGCTCTGCAGTCTTAGGCAGATCATGTCTCTAAGCCAGTTTCTGCATCTGTGAGATGAAGATGATGATAATAGTGTCTCATAAGGTGGTTGTGAAAGTAAAATAAGACAGTGCAAACCAACCTCTCAGTGCCTGGCACTAGTAACCAATCAATGAATGTCACTTCGTGTTATTTTCAATAGCTGTGTTCCTTAGAAACTGTCCTGTTTTTCTTCAGTTTTCTATAATGCTATTCAGTAGATAATATTGGCTAGTTTGGTATTATATTCAGAAATATGAACCTAAAATCAATTGCCAATGCCCTGAGAGTGAAAAAAATTTTGAATTAAATGAGAGAAAATCTGTGTGTCCTGCAGAAAGCAGGCATTTGCAATGTGTGGTGGAATCTTGGTGATGTTGACCTGACAGCCAGCCAGGACAGGTTTAGTGATCTCCAGCATGAGACTTCATCTTAGTTTCTTCCCCCGACTCCCTTTTTTTTCTTACTTCCCTCCCCTTTTCTCCTCTTTCATTACCTGTTTCTCTTTTGACAACCAAAGCCTAAGCATTGAGCCTGCCAGTAGCAAGCATTGTCATCCAGGGACATCCAGAGAAAGCATTGCCACACCAGTGATTACAGTGTCCACTGTAAATGAAACAGAACTGATTTTGCAGGGCACTCTGCCCTAGAGTTAGTGAGACCCTTCCAGACCCTTCACCTGCCATTCTGATCTGGTGTATAGAAACTGGGTTTTAAGGAGGATTTCACAGACCCATAAATATGCTAATAACTACCCCCTCCCACAAAGGTAACGCAAAGGTTATATATCTATGTATGTATTTATATATTTTTCTGGGTTTCATTAGTTCTGCAAATATTTAAGCATAGACCATCTGCCAGGCTCTAGGCCAGACACGGTGAGACGGTCCATAGTTTTCATTAGATCCTCAAAGGTCCTTGGTTTTCATCAGATTCTTAATTTTAAAGAGGTTAATAAGCCAGAGCACCTAAGCCCAGATCGGTGGCTTCTCCCTCTGATCTCACTGTTTGGGTCACATTTAGCTCAAGCCTTGTGGTGAACTGGGTCTAGTCTCTGCTCTGCCTTGTCTTACACTTTCAGGAACACCCAGTCTCTAACTCCCTGCTCACAGGAAGCTTCAGAAACAAGCATGGGTGCCCACTGTGGCTACATCCAACTGCCTCACCACAGGAAGCCAGGGCAGAAACAGAAAAAAGGGGGTGCAGACAGTCCCAGTGGGTCTTTCTGCCCCTGGTCCATGTGGTCGGGAGGTGGTTATTCCTGCAGCCACTCACGCACTTACTTCTGTGAAATGTGGTGCATTATACTGACATTAGATTCTTTGCTTTTGGAGTTTTTGCAACTTTTTTTTCAAGGAAGCATTTTGAGCATTTTGGAAAGAATTGTTTTCAGATAACAGGTTTTCTTCTAAGATAATGGAAAGAGTTTGAAAAGATTTGCTTACTCAGAAACTGAAGAAATTTGAAAGACCTTAAAAATGTTTAAAGGATGTGTCTGTTGTGAACATATATATTTATGTTATATAAGTACTAGTGACTTTTAACTAAAATGTAATTTTCTGTTTATAAAAAGGAAAATGAAAGATTGTATAATCAAGTGAAAGATCTCCAGGAACAAAACAAGAAAAATGAGGAGCGAATGTTCAAGGAAAACCAGAGTTTATTCAGTGAGTTAGCTTCCTTAAAGTAAGTCCTTTTTAAGTTCTTAAAATCACATATACTTAGACCATTTCTAAGCATTTTATTAGTATATTAATAATACATTTATTTTTACTTAGAAATGAAGAAATTTTTACATTTATTTACAGTTTTGTAACTTCTATGTTTTTAATATTCACTGCATTTTTATTTTGGTGTTAGATGACTAGTACATACTTTAGTATTTCCACATATTCATATTTGAGTTTGACATCGGTTTAGGAAATTGAATATACAATATTCCTCTTGATCAGTCATTAAGCCTGAGATACTTAACCATTTCCTAAGGAACCATGTGATTAATAATACTAAAAAATATATATCATACATTATCACTTAATGTCTTAGGTTAGATTCCATAGAAATAGAGTCTGAGATAGGGATCCTTGTGGAGATGATTTCCTAGAGGATAATGCTCAGGAGAAGGGGAGCAAGAAATGCAAATGGGGGAGTGGGGGTGGTAGAGGGAGGGAAGGTAAGTAAGAAGTGGTCTTAACTGGAACCTGGCTTCATTCTGCTGTCACCGGGAAGCCCAGGAGAACAGATTGCACCACAGAGTTGGTCTCTGGTTGAGGCAAGGTGGGGCAGCCTTTTATACCCCCAAGCCAGCCGGTCACTGGCTGAGGTGTCCCCAGGAAGGGGCTAGGGGATATCCTCCAGGGGCAGAGGCTAAGGGTGTTTCTCCAGAGAAGGAGAGCTTATGAATTGTTATCAAGCAGCACTCCCCATGGGAGGCTGATGGAGCACCAGCATCTACTTAGGCATCGTATTTCAGACTGTAACATCTTTTGGATATTCTACGTACAATTTTAGAAAAAGCTGAATCCACAAACAAGGGCAAGTTAGGGTACTGTCTTTAGGAAATGACTACGAGTTGTGCATCATTTCACATAAACACCTAATCACTCAGATAGGACTCCTCTCAGAAGAAGCTTCTCTGGCCATGAATGTCATGAATTACTTACATTTATTCAGATACTTCTTGCATTTTTTTGTTAGATAACCTAGGGCATAAGAGGCAGGGCTGCTGCTAGCTCATCCTGATCTTCATGCAGAATAGAAAAAGGCACATCTTATAGCAGACAAAGCTAGAAGGCACACAGCTGGGCAAGTGAGGGCACTTTTGTGTAAATTAGGGGGAAAAAAGACCCTTTCTGCTGGTGAATGTGACTGCAGGCCAATTGTGATAATCTGCACAGTTCTGATGCATGAAAGCATTTATATCTGCTTTCTTTGCAAATGCTTCAATAAAGTATTTTAAAATATCACATCTTATATTGCCTGGCTTTTAAAAAAGATCTATTCCAGGATCCAAAACTGAAGCTCTAAATGAACTTTCACAGTGAAATAAATGGTTTCTTTAATATATTAGAGTCACATGATCTTATGTGGATTCCTAAACTCCTTGTATAATGTCTCTGGAAAAAAAGGAAAAATGATTCTAAGTTCCAAATAGTAGACTGTTTGCTTTTGTTTGTCAGTTTCCATGTGTATGACTGGCCATTTGTGTTTCTCAGAGAAGAGTCTAGAATGATGTGAAAAGGAATACACACCACCACAGGAAAAATGTAACACATGTTTCTGGGACATTGATTTTTTTTCTCTGAGAATTGGGAGAAAATATTTTTATAGTACAAATAAACCAGTCATCTTAGGGTTTCAATATTTTAGATTAAACATAGACATTTCCCTTAAAGTATACTTCTTTTAGTATTTTAATATTTTAGTCTTTAGATTAAACATACTTTTTCTCTTCAATGACTCACGTAGTCCCAACATCCACTAGAGTTTTTAATTTTTAAGAATTGAGTATTTTCCAGTGAAAGGAGTACCTTGTGAAAAAAAAAAAATCTTTCTATACATCAGAGAACAAATGCACAGAAGTCGTTTCCTGTCTCACGTAGTTGAAGATCCAGAGCCTACCAGAAACCAGAATTTCACAGATCTCTTAGCAGAACTGCGTGTAGCACAGGTAAGTTGCATCAGGATTTTAACTATTAGCAATAGTAAAGATTATTATAAAACTTCCTGTGTGTGTAAAAAATCTGTTTTTGTAATTTATGAATAAATAAGATCTATTTACAAATTTCATATGATTTAAAAATTAAGAAATATCTAAGATTAGCATTTAGCATACATGTGACCTTAATATAGAGAAAACAACATAATGCTGATTTTAGATGGCATCCTTTTTATAATCTAACCTCTTATTAAGCATTTATCACGTGGAGCCGTATTGGAGGCATAACCTTACTTAGGGCACGTATAGCTTGTTTCAAACAAATTCCTCATTGGAAATGTAAAGCTAAAATAGCACAATAATATGAAGATGATTGTTCACCTTAAAAAGTTAGTTGGCTTTTGCCTGTCTTCTTGAGTGGACTCTGCACTTCTAGAGAGCAGAGACTGTATCTACAAAATATTCGTATCCCACGTACCTAACACGAACATGAAATGCAATAGCTGCTCCATAACTTTTTTATTATTTTTATTCAAATGTATTATAAAGAATATGGCCTAGAATTTTCTAAAGCAATATTTATCAGTGGGAGAAGTTTTGGAGTATTGGGCAGGTTAATTCTATTTTAAGCATAACAATCCTATGTATTTCGTGATTTTTATCATCCCTGTCCCCAGGAACTATGTGTGTGTAGCATGCACTGGTCATTGTAACAATCAAAACCACTGCCACATTTCCAAACATCCCCCGTGGGAGGGCAGTTAATTTTCCCACTCCCTCCCGTTAAGAACCATAGCACTGGGGCTGGCCCCCATGGCATAGTGGTTAAGTTCAGTGCACTCTGCTTTGGCAGCCTAGGTTCACGGGTTTGGATCCCGGGCATGGACCTACACCACTCATCAGCCATGCTGTGGCGGTGACCCACATACAAAATAGAGGAAAGATTGGCACAGATATTAGCTCAGGGCACATCTTCCTCAGGCAAAAAGAGAGGAATATTAGCAACAGATGCTAGCTCAGGGTGAATCTTCCTCACCAAAAAAAAAAAACAAAAGAACCATAGCACTAAATGAAAAAGCCCATCCAGTCTACAGTCATGTGTCACTTAATGACAGGGATATGTTCTGAGAAATACATCATGTTGTGCAAGCATCCTAGAGTGTTCTTACACAAACTAGATGGTATAGTCTACTACACACCTGGGCTCTATGGCACTGATCTTATGAGACGACTGTCATATATGTGGTCCATCGTTGACTGAGATGTCATTATGCAGCACATGACTGTACTTGAATGACTATGTAAATTAGAAAATTCCAATTACCGCTTTTGACTATAAATATATTAAATTAATATAATTTAATATATAAATATAATGATAAAAAGTACAGGTTTTTGTAGTATATAAAATGCAGCTTCAAATATGAATCCATTAGGGAACTTCCTTCAGATGCATATGTATATGTATGTATGGAATGATTAACGAGGTAGATAGGTAGGCAGAAAGATAAAAAGAAAGAACAAATAATTGGACCCCCCCTTGTCAGTAGGCCTCAAAAATTAGCAAGTTAAAAGAGAAATTAACGTTGGCCGTATTTTTATGAAGGCTTGGAAAAACATGTTAAGGTTTCAAGCATAGCATTAGCTTCATTCGAATGCTGTTATTACTGACCTTTAAAAGTGCCATTTTGAACATATTTTTCTGACAAATAGGAAACTAAAATTGCAACTAAAAACACTGGAAAATGCTGGACAAAATATAATAAACGTTTTGTAAATGCATAACCGAGCTCTCAGGAAAGTACGGGAACTCTCTAGGGTCCGGAAATGGAAAAAGAATAAAAACCTCGCAGTAAGCATCTGCTCCTAGGCTGCCAGCTCCGTGACCATGGGGCTTGAGCTCTAAGCACAGGGGAGACAGGATGTCAGAACGCCACATCCCTCAGTAAAACAGTGGACGGGGAAAGAATCTACCTCCCTTGTCAGGGACTGAGACATCAAGAAAGCTTTTCTTTCTTAACTTGATCTCTAGCTAGGGAGGGGAAAAGTCTCCTCTGCTGAGTGTCCATGCTTTACTCGTTCAATATAAATGTCATCCCTTCTGCTTGCACTTGTGGTTTAGTATTTGAATTGACGCTACCTGCAAGGGTTGATCGTGCTCAAACTAAGAAAACTGCCATAACCTGTGGTCCTGAGTCGATGATAACCTCTAGTGTGTCTAGAAGAGACAAACGTAAAACAGCTCTTAGAAGTATACACCCTGAACCCAGCTCACAAAGTATTCCTACAGATAAAATCCCACTGACAGTATGCTCACAGTCCAAAATTACCAAACCCAGAGAAACAATCCACCATGAGCAGGTGTGGGATGGTTTAATAAGCAGCAAGATTAGAACCCTTGTAGAATTATTGAATAGACTGTAAAATAAATTGATTTAAAATGATTATATAAAATAAATGAGACAATATGAGGTGAGAACAAAACAGACTAGGCAAATTCAAAGAAAAATAAACAGAAGTCTGGAAACAAAATATATTCCTAGAAATTAAAAACTAAGTAGAAAAGTTAAATAGATGATCATACACAACTAAGAAAATAATTAGTAAACTGGAAGTTAGATTAAGGAACTTAGAGTGAAACACAGAAGAATGGAGAATGGAAAGTATCAGATAGATGTTATAGTATAAATATTTTTAAAAGGTAATGGCTAAGAATTTTCTAGAAATGATAAAAGATGAATTCTGAAATTCAGAAAGCACAGTGAGTCCTGCTCAGGATAAAGAAGTAAAAATCTAAATTTAGGCCCATAATGGTGAAACTATCAAAGGCAAGCAAAACCTTAGAAAAAAATCAAAGGAAAGTGTTAGTTTAAGATAATAGTAAAAATTCTTTAGGGATTTGTTTATTTGTGCAAATACTGAAAAATGGAATATAAATATACCTTTGTTTTCATTCATTTTGGTATTCTGAGTTTAAATAGTTTTAGAGTAAAAACTGTTCATACTGGGATAAATCTGTAATATAATAATATCCATAATTGTGTACAGTCTAAATTATGCCCTAAAAATTAGTATCAATTAGTGTAGTCTTAAAGTGGAGTTGGTTGGTGCTTTATAAACTCTGGAGGGACACATACTAAAAGTGAAGGTCATGAGCCCTTTCCTTTTAGTGTCCCAAGGTGGGGAGGAGAATGAGGCTGATCACAGCTCGTTCATTCAGTCAGCCTTTATCAAGCACCTGCCATGTGCCAGGCGCTGGCACTGGAAAAACAGTAGGTAAATAAGACAGGTGTGGATCTTGCATGCTAGGAACATGTATTCTAGTGGGGAAGACAGACAATAAGTAAACTAATGAAATAATTACACATAGAGGTAGTTCTTTGAAGAAAATAACAATAGAGAATAATAGCAGGTGGGGCAGGGGGTAGGGTGGCATTCATTGGTGTGGTCTAGGAGACACTCCCCGAGAAAGTGATGTCTGAGTTAAGAGCTGAAGAGAAGCAGCAGCTAACCGTGCAAAGGTAGAGCCTTCCAGCCAGGGAAGAAGCACAAGCCCTGAGTCAGGAATGGGCTTGTTACCTTCCAGAAGCAGAGGCTTCTGAGACAGAAGTGGGTGAGTAAGGGCAAGCGTGGTGGAAGATAAGGTCAGAGAGGCAGGCAGACTCTGAATGTCTACATAGTAACTTACAAGGGAGGGAAAGTACCTGCCAGCCAGAAACCCGGTGCCCACAGGATTGACATGGGACACGCTGGCTTCATGAAGGTGGGAAGTCTCAGGCCCTGGACAGAAACAAGCATAGAGTGGACATCCATTTAAGCAGTGATTGCCTGAATGAACTCAAGATGTTTAAAGTTCCTTTGAATTCTGAAATTCTGGAATGCCATGAAATAGACACTGCTAGAGGGCGTTTCTAAATTGATTGAACTGATTAAGTGAAAGGTATTTGCAGAAAGATACCTGAGTGTTCAAAAACTTGAAGAAACTCAATGCTCTCCTGAAAAGACATCTACAGAAGATCACACAGAAGATTAAAAAAGGAAATGATGTGGTTAAATCTGTGATGCAGCTAAAAACCAAGATTATACAATGCTGTATGAATGGGTTTATTTTCTTCGTAAGACTGGATTTAGATTGTAGGGTTGTGTGATACAGAATTTGTAAGAAATTTTATTTTGAAACCCAACTATGCCAAGTGTACTACTGTGAGTCCAAGAGTTTCTTCAGCAGTTGTGAGTTCAGTTCAATGTACATTTATTGAGTACCTGCCGTGTGCTTGGTGTCATAAAGTAAACAGGTAGTAAAATCAGTCTTGGTGCCCTTAGGGCTTTCAGCCTAACAAAGAGAAAAGGCATGTATACAAGTCAGTGTCATATGAAACAAAGTATAGACACCATACTAGAGGTGCAGTGAAAGTTGTGGGAATGCAGAGGAGGGATTATCAGCCTTATTTGAACTAAGCTTTGAAGGATAAGTATGATTTTGTCAAGCAGAGGAATGGGGGCTGTTGAGAGTAGTGTGGAATGGAGGGCATATTGAGAATTCAGTAAACAGCTTTTTGGTATGCCACGCACTTTTTGTGCATTTATGATACAAGAGTTAGCAAAATAAAGCCCTGCTTTCACGTAAATATATAATATGTCAGGTGTGATGAGTGTTGTGAAAAGAAAATAAAGCAACGTAGCTGTGCCAGGATGGGGGTTGATGTTTTAGAAAGAGTGATCAGAGCAAGCCTTCCTGGGGCTTCATTTGAGCAGAAATCCCGATAAAGGGAAGGAGCAGGCCACCTGCCCCTCGGGGGCAGTATATGACACTGAAGGTCATGGTAAGGACTTTGGGTTCACCCTGAGAGGGACGGGAGCCACCAGAGAGTTTCAGACAGAGGATTGATATTAACTGACTCTTTAAAACAATTCCTCCAGCTGCTGTGAGGACAATAGACTGTAGGTGCTGAGGGTGGAAGACAGACTAGTTAGGAGGTTGTTGCAGTCATCCAGGAGAGTTAGGACAATAGATTAGAAGGTCTTTAAAGCTGTGCTGAGCTGGGTGATTAGGACTGATTCTAGTAGGCTGTAGGGAGCTATTAATAATTTGGGGGCAGGGGGAGTGATAAAATTTAGGAAAAATAATGAACAGCAGTATTTATGATGCATTTGGGTGAAAGAGACTATACTACAATTTATTGTGGTTGGAAATAATTTGCTTTTGTATTTCTGTGACTATCAAGAAAGAAAAAAACAGTTTATTGGAAGACATCAAAAGACTGAAGCAAGACAAACAAGCTCTTGAAGTAGACTTGGAAAAAATGAAGAGAGAGAGAGACCAAGCCAAAGATCAGATTGCTTATGCCACAGGTACAACACTGATCTGAGCAGTTTACCTTTGTATTTGTGATTGTTCTAATTGAATTTAAGTAATAGCAGTTGGATACTATAATCAAAATGCTATTCCTTCAAGTATATTCTAATTTTAGAAAAATTTTTTAATTAGTTATTAATAGGTATGTGCATTTTAGCAGGAATAATTCCAAGATCGAAGAAAATCAAAGATTATGTTGAATTCATGGCATTTTATGTTTAGTTGTTTCCATGGCTGTCATCCCAGCTCAAATGTGACCTTCCTGAGGGCATGGTCTGTCTTTTTATCCCTGGGTCTGAAGCGTCGGCTCTCAAGTATTTGCCAAATGAACAAGTAACACTGCACTGTGTTTGTAGAAAACACGAGGATAAATATGGCATTCCCCGCCGGGGAGAACAAAGAGAGTGAGAATCCCGAGAAGTTTAATAGTAAAGAATTACAAATAAGCATGAGACAGGGTGCTAAATCAAGGTTTCAGGGAGGAGTGGCATTTGAGCTAGGTCCTGACAGATGGTAAGATTCAGGAGTGAAGGAATGAGGGAGGCTGCTCGAGTGTGTTTTATGAGCATATTATGGAGTGCGTCTATGGATTGGAGCTCAGGGTGGCAGAACACAGGGCTGGAAGGGTAGATCAGAGGAGCCCTTGTTTGCCAACATCAGTATCTTTCCTCTATGTTAGTATGCTCTCCAGTGTAAGATATGTACAATAAAATCTACTTGCCTATTTGTAGGAAAATTACATTTACTTTCCTCATCTGTAAAATGGAATAATAATAATAGTACCCATCATACAAGTTTGTTGTGTTAAATAAAATCATGCATAGTAAACACTCTTTAATGTTTGCGATTGTTACTTTTTAATATAATTATAGGAATTCTTCATTTTTATTATCTCTTGACTCTTAACATTTATTTTCCCATAGAAATGACTTTACTTACTTTTATAATGAAAGTCAGTGAGAAAACAATTGATTTATCAAGAATTTCTGTGTAGCCCACTTTGCTATGAGTTTGAGGATTTGGACTATGAACACCATCTTCATCTCCCTTTGTTAATAGATTAAACTAGACGCTACCTTGCATACATCAGTTGTTTTTTGCCTCTTGTTTTTTCATAATGCTTTTATTAGATAGGCATTGGTTTTCATTTAAAATCTTTTAGTTTAGTTTATTTTCATATTTTGAAAAATTACAATCAAGTTATTGAGTTACTTTATCTTATAGGTGAAAAATTATATGAAATAAAAATTTTAGAAGAAACACATAAGCAAGAAATAAGTCGTCTACAAAAAAGATTACAATGGTATGCTGAAAATCAGGAACTTCTAGATAAAGACGCAGTGCGGCTTAAAGAAGCAAATGAAGAAATTGAGAAGCTCAAACTTGAGGTAACAGATCATCTCAGAATGTGTTTCTGTAGAACCCTATTATCTTCAGCCGTCAGTTCTTCTTCGCCTTTTAAGTGTCATTGAATCAATGCTCTGGACTCTATTAATTAAAATTACTGGTTTTGGTTTTAGTTTGCCTTTAGATGTAGTCTGTTATAGATTAGACTGAGAATAAATTCAAGCTCCTTATGAGCTGTCAGGTCCCATGTGGTCTGAACCCTGCCTGCCTCTCCAGCCTCATCATACCACACTCCCACGAGTCACTCTCCTTCCGCCACACCAGACCTCCCTCTGATTCTTGAACATGCCAGGCTTGTTCCACTTGTTGTCTTGACCTAGATTACTTTGGCCTCAGTTCTTTCCATGTCTCACTTGTTCAAGTCACAGCTCAAATTTCTACTCCCCAGAAAGACCTTTCCTGACCTTATCAAATGTGGCTGCCGATCCCGCTCCCTCTGACTCTTTCTTCCCATTCCTTCTCTCTGTTTTATTTTCTTCATAGCACTTGTCACTATCTGAAGTTACTTTATTTACTTATTGATTTACTTTATTAGCTTATCAGCTGTCTTCTACTAGAGCATAGGCACCAGGAGAGCAGGGACCTGGCTTGTCTTGTTTGCCCTCCATATTTCCAGCACAGTGCCATATCTGGAAATTAATAAATGAATGAATACTATCATTATGCTTCTCTCCTGGTGTTTCTATGGTATGTTTTAAATATGCTTCTTAACGTGTTCTTTACTTATTGATAGGTTGAGAAACTGAGAGCTGAATCTGCAAATCCGTCTATTCAGCAGAAGATACGTTCAAAAGATAAAGCAGCTGATGCCAAAAAAATTCAGGATCTAGAACGACAAGTACGTGTTCAGGGTAAATTTTCATTAAGGTATTTTATATACAGTGCATTTTTGTTTTCTCTTTTTTTTCAGAAGTTCCTACAAGATGTAGTCAACCTGGAAATTCTTGTTTTTATTCATGTATCTTAATACAGAACTGCCCTTACTTTAAATGTACTTGATATGCAGTATTTAAAGTAACATTAATAAAAGTAGTAAACAACGTCATTTTATATGTAATCTACAGCTTTTATCATTTTACATATAATCTATAGCTAAAAAATAAAGAAGTTTTAGACTAATGTGCCGTATTAGATGGTCGAGCAATTGATGAAAGGTTATTTTTCATCCCAGCTCTATTAGATACCCAGGAAGAAAGAAGCAGAAGTTGAAACTCTGGGTGTAGAGTTAGGATTCCTTCTCCTGAGGAAAGACAGGTGAGAGAGGAGTACAGGAACAGAGATCCTTGAGTTGGGAGCATGTTTGTAGTGCTTGGGAAGTGTTGTAAAACACCCTAGAAACGGAACATTCAGCCTCCTAAAGAGCTGGCCATAATTTTGAGCTCTTGCTCACTTGTTTAGGCTTAGAGATATTCATTTCATGGTCAGTGTCGCTAGGAGACCTCTTTAAAAAATCATATAGTGACACTCGTTAGGATAAAGACTTTTTTCATTGAGGTAGTTGTTTTGTGGGGTAGAATATTAACTCTTTCCTTCTGTTTTTAAGACTTTCTATAATGTAGCATTTGTATTCATAACTAAATATTAAAACAAAATAAGAATTTCCAGTCCTGTTCATAAGGGGTCATGATTCTGTAGTCAAGTCGTGACACTTAAACGTACGGCTATTATTCTATCACAAACCCAAAACTGTGAGGTCATCACTGGACTGAATATTATCCCAGTTTTATGAGAAGAAGCAGAACTAAGCAAAAAATTAACTTTGTTACTTTTACAGGACCTGTTCTTATATGAAAAGGTCTGATTTGGTAGTTTGGTTCAGTGGCCAGGAAAGGAACAGGACAAAGGTGGTTCAAAGAGCTAGAAATATTCTGAAATAACTCTAGTCCAGGATTGCTGGGCTCTTCTTCAGTGCTTAAGATTCAGATTAGCCAATGTAGAAGAAGCCGTCCAGCATGGTGAGAGAGAAGAGCAAAGGAACCACTTCTCCACTAGGTGACTTTAAGAGAAATAATGTAGAACTGAATGTCTGAGAGTAAAAACACAAAGCATGCTTAAAAGCAAAATTGACTTGAAATGGTGGTTCATATTGAGCAGAAAAAGTAACCTCTCTCTTTTATTAACATTTTCATTAAAAATGTATTAGTTTATCATCTTAGATTATATCTTTCTAAACTCTTATTCATTAACAGTATTTTGTATGGTTTGCTGCATGCACATTTCAGATTGTATTAGTTTTGTTCCCATGAACATTTCTGTCATAATGATTTTAAACTTTAATATATGTTTTATAATCAAGGTGTATCATAATATATAAAGAATCATTTTGGAGCCATATTCTGAAATAGATTAATTGTAGAATAAAATATCTCCTTTACTAAATAGCATGTTGGTAAAAATGGGGCTAATTAGATATGTATTATAACGAAAATTTCAGATTATGTGCATTTGTTCATGCTTTTATTTAATGGAGTATTCCATAGTTTAATTTCCAGTGAGAATTTTAAGAAAATTTGCTTTGTATGACAGCCACACTGCTATCAGTGACCAAAGAGTAATATTAAAAAACAGAATTAAAGAAGATACAAATAAAATCTAATTTTCCCAAAAAAAGTAATATACATTTCAAGATATCAAAATTAGATTGAAAATATATCTTAAAATTTTAAATGAATGCATTAATTGTAAATGTTAAAACCAATTCATTTTTTAAAAATCTTGATCTCTTTTTAATAGATTTGTTGTATATGTGCAAGTATATACCTTTATATACTTATATCTAATTCAAATAACTAGATTTTTAATACCGGAGTAAGCAAAGCTTTGAAAATTTTGGAAATGAAGTAAGTGATTGATATTTGTATCTGGATATATCCCAGTTTATGGTACATTTATTAATGTGCAAGAGGTCTTCATGAGTGGAAGTATTTGCTATTAACTTTGCAAATGATGTGACCTTTAAATATCTCATATGAGCAATGTTCAGTCTATAAACAGGACCATGAGCATCAGCAGCCCATCCTGTCTTAGGAAAAGTAGTTTTGAGACCAGATCATAATAAAAGGTGACATCTTCAAGCCCTCATTACATGCTGGGCACTCTGCAAGCACTTCACCAAGATGAGTGTCATTTGATCCTCACTTAATTGTATAAATGCCGTAAAATTGGTATTGTTATCGTCCCCATTTTACTGATGAGGCTAAAGAGATTTTGATGGAGGAGTTCACACAGGTCATGAAGCTGGTGGCGCAGTCTAACTCCAGGTGTGCTCTAACCACTAGACTGCCTCTCAGGTGCTGTTTTATTGCATGTTCAGAGGCTAGAAAACTGTTCAACAAAGAATTTAGTATTTTAATCTATGTTTTTCAAAGATATTTTAACCATAATACCTTTAACAGAAGCAGGTATACAGACATATGCATATATAATGTCAAGCTGTAATTTCGGTGCACTCTAGTGCTGTTCTTTCTTACAGAAAGACCATATAATATGTTACTATTTTATAGACTAATGAAAATTAGTCTTTTATGAAGACTTCATTAAATGTCATGTAATCCTCCTTGCTTCTTAATTGAAAGAAGTCACTTTAAAATAGGTTACACTTCATTTGGAGGGGGCGGGGTAGGGTGGAGGTGTTTGTAGGCAGGGGCAGGTGCTTAGGAAGCTGTATGTTTATTGTAAAAAGTTCCCGCATTCGTGTGCATATGAGTAATTTCTCAGTCAGTAGATAGTGTAAACACTATCATCTGAGGAGGTCTGTGGAAAAAAGGGAGGAGAAAGAGCTTTGTCCTCAAAAACACTGGCTATTACTAGTATAATAGTCCCAAGATCTGTTTCAAATGAATGTAAGAGGATTTCTGTAAATTAACCAGTACTTAATTAGATGTTACGTAGAGGGTGTTTTAATCAGGTAATCTAGGGATATAAAATTTGAATTAATTTGTGTTTCTGTGCATTTGATTCAGTCTTCAGATGTAATGTAAACATCTCTTTGAAATCTAGACATGACTGATGTAGCATAATCTAAGTTTATACATTAAACTGCTTAATTTTAATATATTTGTGACCTTACATGTATACAAAAATATTTTAATAGGTTAAGGAAATGGAAGGAATTCTAAAGAGAAGATATCCCAATTCTTTACCTGCTTTAATATTGGCTGCATCGGCAGCTGGTGATACAGTGGATAGAAATACAGTGGAATTTATGGAAAAAAGAATAAAAAAACTAGAAGCTGATCTGGAGGGCAAAGATGAAGAAGCAAAGAAAAGCCTTCGCACCATGGAACAACAGTTTCAGAAAATGAAGGTAAGTGCCAGGTAGCCATGGAGATGGGGCTCAGAGATGACCATGAGGGCTAAAAGCTGCTTAGGTCTCATTTTAACAAATAGCTCTAAACGTCCTTTCCCACAGAACCTTTACCACGAGTGCCAACAGATGTCAAAGAAACGTAGACCTGTCCTATCTTTTTGTCCTCCTTTACCAACTTCAAACATGGAATAATCAAGCGCAGGATAATCTTTACATAAGTCCTTCTCAATGATATTAGAATTTGTGGAAATTAAGTCATGAAGGGCAGTGTAAAACATCTCAGATATATATTCAGTATGAAATGTTTAAAAAATTACCAGAGATGGGGCTGGCCCCGTGGCGTAGCGGTTAAGTGTGCATGCTCCGCTGCTGGCGGCCCGGGTTCGGTTCCCAGGCGCGCACCAACGCACCACTTGTCAGGCCATGCTGTGGCGGTGTCCCATATAAAGTGGAAGAAGATGGGCACAGATGTTAGCTCAGGGCCAGTCTTCCTCAGCAAAAAGAGGAGGATCGGCATGGATAGTTAGCTCACGGTTGATCTTCCTCACAAAAAAAAAAAAAAAAAACTACCAGAGTTGAAAATATTTTTCTGAAATTCACCTAGACAAGGGAGAGGTCGTGAGAGAAGAATATGTTTTGGGGGTAGAGCCGGGGCCAGGGCAGCATCTGCTGAAAATGTCTTACTGTCCAAGTTTTCTGATCCTTCATCAGGAATGAATCGGAAAATACAAATGCTAGTATGACCAAGTATGAAACAGGACGTGACATTTAATTTACTTTTAAAAATTTGTTGAGCGCATGGTTTCTGCAGTAATTCATGCTGGGTGCTTTCACAGACGTTTTAGTTAATCCTGCATAATCTTTCCCGTCCCTGTGAGAAATAGATATTTTTACCCTGTTTTACAGATGAGGGAACTGAGATGTTCACAGTTTAACTGTATTGCCCAAGGTTCTGCTGCTGGTGAGGGACAGAGTGAGGCCTCAAACCCTATGTCCCTGCTTCTGGGAAGCAGATCTCATTCCCCACAGATTTCTGTCCTGAGAGAAGCAACACATGATAGAATATTAGATTCCAGAAACAGAAGGTTGAGAACCTAGAAATACATTGGCCTGCTAGTTAAGGTCGTAGCACGGAGTTTGGGTTTCCTTTATTCCACCCACTTTTTTCAAATCTCTCAGCCCCTACCTGCTTCACTTTCTTCTCTCACTATCCTGAATTCCAAGGTGTACTCCTCCTTTAACTACCCAGTTTTCAACCACCCGTGACTTACTCGCCCTCTGCGGCAGTTTACCCACCTCCTTCTCCACCCCTCTACTCACACAGCTTTGTGCTTCAGAAGGAAATTGCGCATTGTGAAAGGAGGGCCGCCACAGGTGTGTAGATATCCAGGCTCCAGAATTCCCTCAGTGCTACTTGGTAAGCCTAGTGCATGTGGCTAATCAGTTCCTTCTTCCACTGCCCTAAGTGTTCCCTCCAAACTTTCCATCAAGTTCGTCTTGCCCCCACCCCTGCCCCACTCTGCTTTTAGCAGACTTGCCTCCTATACATGGGAGACTGGAGCGTAATGGAAAACACACAGGCTGTAGAGTCAGACCAGGCTTCAGTCTGGGCCCAGTTTCACCATTATAGCTTCATGACTTTGTGCTAATTACTTAACGTCTCTGTGCCTCAGTGTCCTCATATGTAAAAGACAGGTGGTAATAACTGACTTATTGCCGTTTATGCCACTTTTACTCCTAAATTTCTTTCAATTCCTCTGTTCCTTTTCATCACCATGTCACTCTATGACCATCATTAATAAAAGGTAAAAAATGGCCTGGATTATTGTCACAACCTCCTTACTAGTCTACACATATGCACTTCACCCCATCCTCTAATCAGCTCTTGACACTAAAGTCAAAAATATATTTTCATATCTCTCTGTCTTATACACACACACACACTCCTTTGTTTATACCCCTCAGTAACTTCCTGTTTCTCTTAGGATAAATGGCCTACAAATCCATGGATGGCCAGGCCCCTCCTTTCTCTCCAGTGTTTTCTCACACCGTGCTTCCTCTATCCAGTCATACTGACCTGTTTCTCCTACTTGCCATGTTTCCTACAGCCACAAAAATATGTATACTCTGTTGCTTCTGACTGGTGTGCTCTGCTCTCCTCTTTCACAGTTAAGGTGTTCCTGCCCTTCAGCTCTCAACCCAAGCATGTCTTCCCCAGTGAGACCTTCCCTGGTCTCCCTGGTAGACCGATTCCCTCTCTAGGCTCTCTAGCCCCATGCAGCTCCCCTTCATTGCATCCACCACATTTGTAGCCATTTTGATTGGATCGTTAGTGATCCCTCTCCCCATCCAGCTTTGGGATTTCATGATGGCTGGGGCTGTTCTGCTTTTACTGACTGCTGTATTCCATCATTCAGCAAGGTGCCTGGCACAGAGTAGATACTCAATAAATATTTTAATTACTTAATCCCTAATTCATCGGCTATTGGAAGGATTGAATGGCAGAATATGTGTAAAGTCCTAGTACCATTTCTGGAGTGTAGCAAACACTCAATAAATGATCATAATAATTACAATTATTTATTAGTATTTCACTGACCAAATAGTCGCAAAAATTCCAACCCACAACCCCATTTTTATGTATCTAAACCTACCCATGCTAACTTTTTCCTTTGTTGCAATCCCTGCCCCATCCCACTCCTGTTCCTGCTCACTTCCTGCCACTTCCTCCTCTCATTTCTTCCCAGTACACACCAAGCATTCAGCTGCCTTCACATGTGCTCTTCCTACTTCCAAAAGGTCCCTGCTTCCACTTATCCCCAATTTTACACTCATCCCTCAAGGCTGAACTTAAATGTGCTCCCTCTGTGCAGTCTTCCCACGTTCCTAGACCTGCAGACACACTCGAGTGCCTTGTCCCCTCTGCACCGTGTTCACAGGCCCGTTGTCGTGGTTACCATAGGGTGTTGAAACTGTTGCCATGTCGCTCTCCTCCCAGCCTGTGAACTGTTTGAAGGCAGGAACTGAGTTTCTTTTTCTCTAGAACCTAGCACACAGTGGTAGCTCAGTATATTCAAAATATATTTAATGATGAATAAACACTGTCCGTGCCTCCCTCCAGAGTAAACTATTTAGGTTATTTCGTTTATAATACTAAAGCTCCAGTATACAAATTCCAAGCTGACTTATACTCTATGAGATTTCTAAATTGATTTTAGGAAGTTGAAAATGTGCTATTTCTTAAAGGCTTCAATACTCCCAATTGCTTTCCCTATTTGTCCTCAAAGAGTATAGTTTGTCAGTTTGCACAGAGAAGGGTACACAATAATTGGTTTGATGGTAAGGTTTAAAATTAAATTTTAGGGGTATATAAAAACGTGTAATTTAACATTTATGAAGCAATATATTAATAATGAAATTATATGACATATATTGAGAATATGTAATGTTATGCTCTTCAAAGATTAGGACTTCAATACATGTGACTGACTCAAGGAACACAGAGTTGGAGGCATCAGAATATGTAATGAGTACCTGAATGAAGAACTAGGTAGGGCCTGGTAGCATGCAGGGCTTCAGTAATGAAATGTTTAGCAGTGGTTTGGCGTTACATGGATTCTTTTTTTCAGATTCAGTATGAACAAAGACTAGAGGAACAGGAGCAGCTGCTTGCCTACAAATTGAAGGAAGCATCCCAGAACCAACATGACAGCTCCTCCAGGGGTAAAGCACTGGAGAAGGAACTCGACGACATTAAGGAAGCCCATCAACTCACTATAAGAAACCTTGGAGCTGAAATAGACATTCTGAAACATCGGAATGCTGAATTAGAACTCAAGAAAAATGACAAAGATGATAAAGATTTCCAGTCTATAGAATTCCAGGTGGAACAGGCTCATGCTAAAGCTAAACTGGTAAGACTCAATGAGGAGCTGGCTGCAAAGGGGAGAGAGATACAAGACCTTTCGAAGACTGTGGAGAGGCTTCAGAAGGAGAGAAGAATGATGCTGTCTCACCAGAACTCTAAGGGTAGAGAGGAAGTGACTGCAAAAAGGGTGAAGAAAGATGTTCTGCACCCAGGTAAAAGAAATACTGCCCCTTTCTCTGGAACCCTGGATGGCAAGCCTTACCAACCACATACATTTACTGATTCCCGTATTTCAGAGGTTTTACAAGAAAACTGCAGATTGAAAAGTGAACTGGAGAGATTAACTGTGGAGAGGAATGAACTGAAGATGAAATCTGAAGTAGCAATGAACCAATTTGAAAATTCTATGAAAAGGTAAAATGTGAATTTGTAAATATATGGGGATGTAAAAAGATAAAAATTTTAAGATGTATTTAGTTAGTCCCTAAACAGAATTCATCACACCAAATTTTAAGAAATTGCATTACATTGTGAAGCATAGGTGTGTATTTCAGAGGAGGATTCTCTACCTGTTGGAAGCCCAGATTCTGTTGAACCTGAATCTCCATGTCCTGAGGCTGACCAGTCTTGTTTTTCTGCATGTATCTAAATGGGGTTAATACTCTGACCCACTGGGCCTTCTTGCAAGTGAACATTATTTATGACTGCCATAAGCAGATTGCTGTCAGAAAACAGCTGTTAAATCTAGTTGACATTCTAAGAGGAAAAAGTCCTCTTTTCCAGAATAACTCTTGATCACGTCCATCCATGCCTTCAAGAACTGTTACACTCATCCTTTCCTTCTGAGAATCTCTAAGTACCGTCTCCTGCCTCTCCTCTGGGCCTCCTGACGGGCTCGCATCTTTTTCGTCCCTCAGTCCTAGTTCTAGTCCTCGTGCTTTCAGTACCCGTTTTCCACAAGTAGCCTCCTCTGCTCTTTCCACCTCACCTCCTCTTAAATATGGCTCTCATCTGCTGCACTCTTAACCCTGGCCTTTCAGTAATGACCTTTCCAGACCAAAGGAATTTCCTTTCCTTGACATTGTTGACTACACTGCCTTTCCCGGAGTGCTTTCCTCCCTTCCCTTCCAAGGCTTGGCCGCTCTGACTAAAACTCCTTTTCTGTTCCTTTTAACTGACTCCTGACTCCTCTTTATTCTCCCTCCTTGAAAATCTGAAATTCTACCAAAGTTCCGTTTTTAGCTTTCTGTTTAGTCTCTTTTCTTTCTCCATTGCTAAACTCATCCATTCTTATGGCTTCTGTGGACCATGACTTCTATTTACTTTTTAAGGCTTGTTCTCTTTCCTGAGCTCAGATTTAAATCTACAACTAAATATTTGTTGGATTGTTCCTCTAGGAATCAGCAGTATCTCGAATTTTATCTGTTTTTTACCCATAGAGTAGTTTCTCTTTCCAGCTTCCCCATTCTGACTATGATCATATTTATTCAATTGCCAGGCCCACCTTTACCTCCTTTATTCTGTGGGTTCACAGTCTGTGGAGTACTTCCTTATAGCTATTTCTTATTTTGCTTTCTTCCTTACTGTAGTGCGGCCTACCTGCTTTACTAGACAGTTTTCCCACCTTAATCTCTCTGATTTTGGTTTCTGTCTCCCTCAATCATCTTGCTTAAAAACTATTAATATTCTTTCAGTACTTCTGTATCTGAGTCACTCTGCCCTCCACTGACTCCCAGCTTCCTCAAGTATCAAGACTCAATTTCTACCTGGCATTTCAAGTCCCATCACTATTCTAGTACTAGTCGGTGGGCCTAACCTGTCGAATTTCTTTACTGCCTTTTGCTCGTTCATGTTTCAAGTCCTACCTCTTCCACAAAATATTCACTAGAGCTTCCCAGGAAATTTCCTGCTCCCGCCTCCAATTGCTATATAACTTACATACGCCAAGAAAGCATTAATCATATACCGCCTTACAGCTGCTTGAGAATGGATGTAAGGTTTCCTTAAATCCTTTTACAACCTGGTGTAGGAGCAGAATGAGCATAGGAAGCACTTCTCCAATGCTTAGTGATTGATTGCCAGCCACGTCTGATTGAGTCATCCTGCCACTGTATTGCTTCCAAACTGAAACCTTGTTTCTTTAGTTCTGAATGTGATAGTAGCAGTGAAGCTATTTGGAGAGAATCACATTCTTTCCTAGAAATAATTAAAAATTCAGGTTTTTCCTGTAAATTTTCCTATACATAAATTTTAGTATTGTTATGCTCTTTCTCAGACAGCTCTGGGTCGGAGAAGTGATGAGTAACCTTCCTAGTCCCAGTTTTAGGCTGTTTTTACTATAGTTCAGTGATAGCATGGGTGCTTTCAATTTTATGCTTTTCCTAGGACCCTAATCTCGCTGTTTCCATGAAGAAATATTCAGATAGTCAAATAAGCAACTGATATATTTGTTTGTGGTTTGAGAATTGCCATATTAATAAGTATCAACAGTGATTTACTAAATATCTGCTTTGAGTAAAATCCTGTCATTTTTTAATTTTTCTGATAAGAGAGGAAATGTTTATCTGTAAGAAATGTATCAAGTCTTTAGTCATAACTTTACCATTTACTAAACTGCCTCTGAATGCATCAGTTTTGCCACAGTGACAAATGAATAATCTCTCACACTTAAGGGTCCAAATTAATTAGGTTCAGATTACCGTGTGTCCTAAGAATTACGTAAAGATCATTTTTTCCTCTCAAAATGCCTTGAGGCCTGGAGTCATACACATGGACCAAAACCTGGTGAATGTTGCCTAGAGACGAAGCATTGAGATTCTAAAGGAAACAACTGTGATTTTCCAAGTAAGAATCTGAGCAAGAAATCTGACAAAATGGCAGGCCCTTTGCTCTGACTCCAACAGAACACGTAGAACATTTGATTCCCTCAGAAAGTGCAGCCCTAGGCTGGGGGTCATGTGGAAGGCCCAGACTTTGGGGTTCAACTCTGCTGGGCTTGAACCCCAGCTCTGTGACTCAGTGATCTGGGACCGTAGATATATCGCTCTTTCCTAAACTTGGGTTTGCTCTTATAAAATTCAGCACACAACAGTGAGCTCGTGGAGTGGTTGTAAGTACTCATAGGCAATAATATGTAAATCGCCTAGCACAGTGCAGTGGATATTGGTGTCCTCTCTCCCTTTGCTTCTTTAATTTCCAGGCTTCTTACACTATTTTTGTGCTAACTCTGAATTAGAGGTAGAAGAGCCACTTTTATGTGTGGTTTTCTTTCATTTGCCCTAAAGGGTCAAGGAAGACACTGCAGCACACATCACATCTCTCAAAGCATCTCATCAGAGAGAAATAGAGAAACTCCTCTGCCAAAATGCAGTAGAAAATTCTTCTTCCAAAGTAGCTGAACTGAATCGTAAAATAGCAACTCAAGAGGTAGGGGACTTTAACAAACTTTCTTTGACGTTAATGTCATTTTTTTTTCCGGGACTGTTAACGGAACATTAATTTGGAAATATTTTAACTTCACTTTTTGAAGTTTGTGTTAAAAATGGGAAATTATTGTCAGCCTGATTTTTTTTTCATAAGAGAGATTGCCATCACCACATATTTAACTATTCTACTTTCAAGTTATACCTCTAAATATGTGTTTTTACAGTTTTGTCCCTGTAAGGGATGGTTCAGGGACATGTCTAATGTGACTGGGGCCTTAGTACTTGAACTTGAATGTTGAACCATCCCTCTCCACCCCAAGTCCCAACTGACAAGTGATTATCCTAGTCATTCTTCTTGCCCCATTTCTTTTCCTTTATTAAACAAGGAATGATTTGGGGTCTATAGACAGTCAGGCACTGGGGATAAAATAATGAACAGACAGATGTACGCAGCTCCAGCCATTATGAAGCATAGTCTTCTAAGAATTATGACAGGGTATGCTGACAGCTCACATTTCCCCAAATGTGTCTTCCTTCTTGGATAGTATGTATGTCTACTTGGAATATCTATGAATACCTACTCTGGCGGCCCATCTTCTGTGGTGTTAGCAGGTTGAAAAAACAGCATGAAAATAGAACTTATATCTGCAACTTATTTTCAAATGGTGTATCCATGAAAGGAAAAGTAAATATGGCAAAATGTTAGTAATTGGTAAATCAATTTGAAGAATATATAAATTTTCATTATGCTCTCCATCTTTTCTATAGTTTTTAATTTTTAAAAGCAAGCCTGGGGGAAAACGTCAAGAAATAATTATCTCATCACCTCTCCCACCTATAATTATTTAACGGCCTCTTAATTATAAACAAATCGCTCAACTGGGAAGTTTGAATATGGACTGGATATTAGATATTATGAAGTTATTGTAAATTTTCTTAGGTGTAAAATGTTACTGTGATTTTCTGAGCAAAGGCCCTTATTATAAGGAGATACATGTTGAACTAATGGGCTATTTAAGGGTGAAATGTAATGAGGTCTGTAATTTAATTTCAAGAAGCTCAGAAACAAAGAACTTTGACTGTCTTAATACTTCAATGAAAAAAGATTTACTTTTCGAAAGTAACTATTCATGTAGCCTTGCAAATAACCTCTCTAGCTTTCTCCCCATAGGAGTGGGGTGTCAGTGGGCGGTGTAAACATTGTATCAAGTGATTATATAGTACAGAGCAGTCTGGAAGAGGTGGGAAAAGTGGTGTCATGCTACAGGGCCATAAATATGTTATTTTCCCAGAGTTCTAAATGTAATATTGTAAAATTGAGAGATAAATGGAAGCCGGCATAGTCTGATTGTTAAAACCATAAAAGTAAAGCATTAGAGATAAGATATGTGAATTTTTCCTAAGTTTTCAGTTCCTTAATGAAAGTATTTGTTTATGTATTTAGTTTCTTTGTCTAAAAATATGACTCACATTCATTTTACAGATATTATTAGGTTTGTGTTATCTTTATTTAGTCATTTTATAAAAAAATTCTGCTTAAACACTAAGTGTAAAGATAATATTGACCACTTTCTTCAAAATGCTTCAAGACTTCATAGATTAAAAGGTATTTTATTTTTGTTACTTTACAGATTGAAAGGTACTTTTAATACAAAGATATTTTTCGGGCCTCCAGAAGAAAAACGCTAGATACTAAATACTAAATAGCCTCTTTATCAAGAGGCTAAGTAGTTACAGTCATTAATTTGTAATAGGTGTGGAGTTTTATATTAAATGTGGAAACAAAGTAACAAACTTATCAATGATTTTAATTCATTCAGTGAACTTAATTCCTGTGGCAGTTTATTTCTCTCTTAGAATTTGGTAATTTTAAAATATCAGGATCTTTTTTATTTTTTAGTACAAACAAAAGTCATTAGTTGGCTTTCTTTTTCAAATAACGTTCAAAGAAAAGCTTTATTAACTCAGTACTTCTAACAATTTCCTAGGTACTTATAAAACATTTCCAAAATCAAGTTAATGAGCTGCAGAGTAAACAAGAGTCTCTTGTAGTTTCTCAAGTTCGAGAAGAAATCCTACAGAAAGAGGTAAGAAATAACCAAAATGGGTTAACATAAAATTTTCTTAGCCATTTCAATCATATTCATATTTCTGTATAAATTTTTAACTTAAATCCACAAATAGACATAACTTGAAAATATCTATCACATGTCAAGAAAATGTTAATAACTTGCTTATGGAAAGTCTGCTTTCCCCAGATGAGGCTCAAATATTAAGTTATTTATATGTTTGTATGTGTTGAGATTTTCTGGGCAGTGGGAAAGTGGCGGGGGTGGGCAGTTGGTTCTTTTGTTGGATTTTTCAGGAGGTAAAATTGGATGGTTAAGACCATTTCTGCATTAAGTACTAAGACTAATTTGGTTAAGAAATAGGTAAAGCGACCATGACAGTGATGCTGGATCACCAATAACAATGTCATTACAGACAATAGATCTTTCTGGAAACTCACCATTTTTATTACTCTCAGATCCTTTTTATTCTAGAAAGTGTGAAAAACCAGATAAGCCGGCATTCTATTCTTTGAAGCATATACACCACTTTTTATTATTCATGATTTATTAAATCACACAAGCAAAACATAGCTAATTGCATTATGAAAAGATACATTTAAAAACACAACACTTACGCAACTGTCAAATTTTAAAAATCTTGTAGTAGTTGAAAGACTATAGTTCAGCATTGTACATTCATTTCGCTGTTTAGGATGTACATAAACTTTGTTAGTATAAGCAGTAAATTTACAGAACCTCACAGACCTGAAGTAAAATTTTTAGGAAAAGCAATAAAAGGAAGTTTATGCTCATGTTTGCGAGATAAAGGGCAAAATCAGTTTTAGTCAAGTTATAGTGTTCTTAGTTTAAGAATAGCTAAAATATTTTGAAAATAGAAAAGCTGCAACAATGATTTTCAAGCCTATTTATTGGAACACTAAGTAAAGCACTCCATCTCTTGAATAAAGGTGATGACAAGCTGCCTTTTAATAAGGAGTCTATTTATCATGGCTGTTTTAACAGGGCTCATTTATTCCCGATACTGGTACCCTTCCGAGGGCCCTCCCGGATGTCCCGTGTGTCATGAGCATTTCCTCTAGGGCTGGTGGGAATATGAACTATTCCCTGCCCTGTGCCAGCTCCAGGACTTATTCAAGCTACTATTTCCACTGGCTTCCAAACTGCCTCCCTGCAACAAACTAGGCATTCATAGAGCTCGTCTTGTTTGGTTCCCTTCTGGTGAACCACAGTCCTGCAGTGCTGTTAGCCAGTATTGGAAACGTTGTTTCATATATCGTGTTTCATATATCGTCTGGTTTTCTGGTTGTTTATGATGGGAAGGTAAATCTCTGTCTCTTTTACTCCATCATGGCCACGAGTGAAAGCACATTATACATTTTAAAACAGTGGTAAACTCTCTATTATTTTTTGACAGCTTGTTTGTTTTTAAAGTAATTTTATAGAGCCATATGAAAACTGAGTGACAATCCGAACTTTTCAGTGTAGTTCAAGTCATTGGGAAGTGGACCATCTCCCACCCTAGCATGTTAATGGTGGAAACCTGAAATGAGTTTTCCATCATCTGCATTTTGTTCCATGCCTTTGTTACCTAAAATGTTTTCAAACCACATCTCTTTAAAATCATATCTCCAGCAATGGAGTGCAAATCTTTTCAAGCCTCTCGTGTATCTTCATTCAGTTGATGTTAACTCAGGCTTGTGTCCCTCAAATCTTTTGTTTTTTTAACACTCTAATGAATAATCTATGTTTTAGCACTCGTCGTAGACTTTCAGTCTTCTTACTCTCCCACTCCTAGTTGACTCCAACAATCTTTTGTTCATTCATTTCCTTGCACACTGAAATTGTAGAGAAAGGACTTGAGTCTTTACTCAGACCCCCTAGAGACAACTGAGAGGATTAATGCTATTTTTATGTTCTGTAGATAGTATATGCAGTTTACTAGTCATAGACTCTTTTTCATCAATGGGGTTTTATTTTGTTTTGTTTTTTAATTTGTATAATATTCTATAAAAGTTTTAGAAATTATTCAGTAGTGTTCTCTAGTATGAGCCCAAGGATTATTGTGGCTGGTCATAAAAAATATCAAAATTCTTATTGTAATTTATCTCAAATATTCTATAACTAGTTATTATTTTATGAATGAATAGTGGAATGATCATGGGGTATATGATAAGGTCTGGGTTTAAATTCTTGATTTACCACTGTAAGGTTCACTAGCAGATTCAAGTAAACATGTAGAGTCACACAGTGACCATAGGCCACACTAGGCACTCTGGATCCGGGCCAGAAAATAGCATGGCAGCGAGGCAGCGTCAAGCATTTCTCTTTAGTGCGAGTAGTTCGCATAGCAGTCCACACAGCTGTCCAGGAGACAGCACAGGTGCAAGGGAATAAGACTCACACCTGGCAGGTGGAGGAACCACCCAGGCTTAGATGCCCCATGTTCCACAAGAACCAGTGTCTCTTATAATAACCTGTGCACAGTGGTTCCCGTAAGGACATGCCCAGTACAGGAGTCACCACACTCAGGAGAGCCCAAACCTATTGCTTCCCACCAGGTATTTCAGTTCATACAGAGTCACCCAAGCCCAGATGCTTCCACCAGTTGGGGCATTGTTACCACAAGCAGTGTGCCTGGTACACAGCTGACATCCATCTTTATCCAGAGGAGAACAGAGCTAGAAAGTTAATTGAACCCGAAATCAGTTTCTCATTTAGAAGAAAGAATTGTATTTACCCACAGCCACTTGCTAGTGTTTTTAAACTCTCTCAGCCTCAGTTTTTTTTAGCTATTAAATGAAATAAGATCTACTTCCTAGCATTCTTCATTCATTCATTCATTTAATAAATACTTAGTGAGCAGGTGTCAGTAACTATTATAGGCTTTTGGGATATAGTAATAAATAAAACACCTGAAGTTCCTGCCCTCAGGGAGCTTGCATTGTAGTGGGTAGGACATTAAATAATCAAATAAACAGATACATACAGACTATAATGTCCCCCAGCTAACTTCCTTTGCATCAGAACTGAATCACATACCCACCTCCAAACCAGTTATTGCCAGAGGCAACTGGATAGCAATATTGTAATGGGCTTAAACCAATCAGAATTTACCCCAGAGTTGACTGTGTGAACACCTGAACAGTAATTATGGCCCTGCTGACAAAGGAATGGCTCTTTAAAAGGCAATGCCTAGTGTCTCCTTCAGTGCTGGACCCCAGTAGAGTCTAGACCCTCTGGATTAAGTGCTCACAACCACTAGCCATTCCTGGGCCCCCTCACATTTTAGGTTATTGGTGTTACAGTTTACATAGTTTTTATATTCTATAAGTAATAACAGATTATCACAGTTATGGTTATTTTTACTCGTTTAGTTTTTAACTTTAGAGTTATAAGTGAATTATGCATCACAATTACCATATTACAGAATCTAACTTTGACTATGTATTTATCATTACCAGTAAGTTTTATGCTATCTTATTATGTTTTTATGATGTTAATTACCATCCTTTTTTTCCCCAAAGAACTCCCTTTATCATTTTTTGTAAGGCAGGTCTAGTAGTGATGAACTCCCTCAGCTTTTGTTTGTGTGGGAAAGTCTCTCTCCTTCATTTCTGAAGGACAGCTTTGCCAGTTATAGAATCCTTGGTTGACACTTTTTTTTCTTTCAATATTTTGAATATATCATTCCATTCTCTCCTGGCCAGAAACATTTCTGTTGAGAAATCTGCCAGTAGTCTTATGGGGGTTCCCTTGTATGTAGTTTCTCTCTTTTCTCTTTCTGCTTGCAAAATTCTTTATCTTTGACTTTTGACAAATTATATGTCTCAGTGTAGCTGTATTCCATTTCAGCCAATATTACTTTAAATATACTTTTCTGTCCCTCTCTCTTTCTCTTCTCCTTTTGGAATTACTTTAATGCAGGTATTGTTTCTTTTGATTATGTCCCATAAGTCACATAGGTTTTCTTCACTCTTTTTCATTTTTTCTTTTTGCTCCCCTGACTGGATAATTTCAAAGGGTCTGTCTTCTAGATCACTCATTCTTCTACATGGTTGAGTCTGTTTTTGAAGTTCTCTATTGAATTCTTCAGGTCAGTCATGGTATTTTTCAACTCTAAGATTTCTGTTTGGGATTTTTTTAATGGTTTCTATTTCTTTATTGAACTCATTTTGTTCATGCATTATTTTCTTAATTTCCTTTAATTGTCTTTCTCTATTTTCTTATAGTTGACTAAACTTCTTTAAGAAGGTTGTTATGAATTCTTTGACAGTTCATAGATCTCCCTTTCTTTAGGGTGAATTATTGGAGCTTTGTTAGTTTTCTTTGATGGTGTTATGTTTACCAGATTTTCTGATCCTTGGTTCCTTAACATTAGTATCTGCATATTTGGGCTCCTCTTCCAGGCTTTACAAGTTCACTTTGGCAAAGACAGTTCTTCACCAGTCAGCTCAGTTTGGGCTTCTGGACATGTCTACTGGTAGTATCCTTGGGCAGGTCAGGCTTTCTGTCAGTGTCTATTTTTGGGCAAGGCCACTGCCTGAGCTCTGAGGTAAGGAGGAAGTGGTGTGTCACTGGCTGAGAACAGTTGGATAGGACTTCTGGCTTGGTTCCCTGCCTAAACGAAGGCTATAGCATGGGCTCTGTGGTTGCCTGCATCCTCTGGTCAGGCATATGATATGCTCAGGACTGGGTACTCTACTCAGCCGTAGGTGGGCCTGTGAATTAGCTTCTCTGCCTTAGCAGAGCAAGACAGGCCCCAGGGCCTGCACAGCTCGTTGTTTGGGGACCCAAATCAGGCAAGACTATGCACTGAATTCTCTGGCCAGATGGAGTCACTAGTTTTGCTCTGTAGATGGGGAGAACCAGAGCGCTCTCTGTTCGACTGCCGCTGTAAGCAGGGCTGTTGGGTGAGCTCTGCAACTTCCCATGTGCTCTGGTTGGGTTCCCTGCTCAGACAGACTAAAGGCTGTATTCAGCAATGGGCAGAGCTACCAATTAGTTTCTGCCTGGGCGCAGTGGGAGAACCAGCTCTAAGGTCAGTAACGCTTTTAGTGATCTTGACTCAAGCCAACCAGTGTCCCAAGTTCCCTGGCCGAACAGGCCACTGGCTTTGCTCTGCAGACTGTCAGTTCTGCCTGCCAGACTCTGCTCTAGCATTGCTGGACTACACAGCTTTCCGGGTGTTCTGGTCAGGTGGGGCTGGGAACTTCACTCAGCAGTAGGCAGGGCTATGACTCAATTTCCCTGCCTGGACAGGGGCAGACCAGGCTCCAGGGCTGGAAAATCTCTTCGTTTGAGGACCCAAATCGGGCAGACCTGTACCCCGCCGAGTTCCCTGGTCAGGCTGCGCCACCGACTTGGTTCTGCAGGTGAGCAACGCCACTGGTTGGGATTACTACTTGGGCTCTGCATGTAGGAACTCGGTCTGCCAAGATCCAAGTGCTGGTTGTTGGAAGCCCCTCAGCTGAAGCTCCAGAGACTAAAGCTTCTCTGACAGTCAGATTCCCAGGGGTCGAGCCCCACAGATTCCCCTGCAATCCCTGTGCGGTGAGACCAGAGTGGGGTCTCCCGAGAAGTGACCCACAATGCTAGGGGGGCTAGATATCACCCCTGGGCTCTCTTTTCCTACTGGAGGAACTGTAGACTCAGAGGAAACCTCTCAGCCTGGTGCCGTGCTGGCCTGTGGGGGGCAGGGCAGTGCAGTCAGCTTGTAGCTGTTCCTCTTACCCTTCTAATGCAGTCTGTCTTGGTCTCTGTGGTGCAGGGACATGCTCCAGCCTTACCCCCCTGTTCTAGGATTCTCTCAGTGGTGTCTTGTCCTTGGATAGTTGTTAGTGTTCTTCTTGTGAGGGGAGCAAAGTCAGGAATGACCTGTGTCGCCATCTTGGTGACATCACTCCTCCAGTCAGTATATATCTTTATTAGCACTTTTATTATGCCATTTTATAAAAGAGGAGTCATAATAATAATGATAATAGTTATCATTTATTAAGTGTTTAGTTATGTACTAGGCACTGTGATAAGTGCTCTATGTGGTTCTCACATAACCCAAAAGAGTAGATACTATTATTTCCATTCTATAGATGAAGAAATTGATGGTAAGAAAAATGAAATAAGTTGCCTGAGGTTACCAAGCAACATGTAGAAGTGCCACCATTAGAACCCAGGGTTTCTGACTCCAGATCACAGGCTCTTAATTACTAATTTATTTTACCAATCCTCTCTCATTGGACAGGGGACAATTAAAACAACAAACACTTCAGGTTGTTTCCAGTTTTTTCTACAGTATTCAAGTAGCAGACAGCATTTTTGATCATGCATCTTTACTTATGTATCCAGTTACCTCCATAGGATAAATTCATTAAAATACAAGGATTTTTTAAAAATAGATATTCAACTTTAATTATACTCTTAAAGATGCTTTTAAGTAGGTACAAATGAAGGGAAGTTTTCTCTACTCTGTGTCTAGAACCAAATTATTACAAATCTATGTAATTTACAAATGAATGTTTAATCATTGAAAGGGAAATTCATTAATTCAGGAATAATTGCTAAATACCTACTCTTTGCTGTGCACAGCTCCGTGTGCTGAGAATACTGAGGAGAACAAGGTAGACAAAATCCCTGCTCTCATGGAGCTTATGTTTTATTTGGGGAATCAGACAGTCAACAAATGTTAAGGTTTGATAAATAAAATTAACTGAAACAACATCTGTAAAGTATTTAGCATAGATAATGTCGTGACTCACTGCTACTTGTCCTTTAAGACTCGACTCAAACCAGGTGCCTCGGGTCGGGAATCCTGCGGCCCACCTCCACTTGAGTTAGGTGTCCCTCAGTTATCACCTCGCTGCTCCTCGGGCATCTCTCCATCGTAGCACACCGTGTTAGAATTCTCATCCACTCAGCCGCTTCATTCACTCCACCAGAACTTCCCAGCTCACCTACCAGGAGTGGTACCTGTGGATCACAAAATAGTAGTGGCTGGAAGTGTTGCCTAATGACAAACTCAAAATCATTTTTCTATCATGAAAAAGTTTACAGAAGTTGGAAGTGATGTTTGACCATTACATGTGTGACTGTGCCTCTGACAACTTTCTTAGTTCAGTAATCATTGTTTTGTGTGTATGTGGTTTTTTGTTATTGGGTTTTTTTGTTTTTGTTTTTTTAGTTTTTAGTAATCTTTTTTGACACATAAGATGTTTATCCCCAGCACTTGTCACCACAGCATATTATAACCTTTCTGTGAATCATCCCAGTTAAAGTCTGCATGTTGCTTTGGTCACTGATGACATAACAGAGATATTCAAATTTAAAATATTTAGATTTGCCTCTGATTTAATTTGCTTGTATTTTCACATTCTTTAAACTAATTTAGGAGGAGTATTTTTTTTTTTTTAGTATTATCAGTGTTATTAGCTACTGGGTGTTTCCGTATAAGACATGAATGAATTTAATTTTATCCATTTTCATTTGCCTTTTTATTATTTGCCTTTTGATGTTAATAATTAGCAAATTATCATAGTTATATGGTATAAAGAAAATTCAGTTAATTGTTTCACCAAGAAAGGTCCCTCAAATCCCCTCCATCTTACTCCCTGGTGCCATAAAAATATTACCATTTTCTCTGTAGGTATGAAAAAGGAGGTGGAGCACTAGACTGTCACCTCCATGAGGACAGGAACCGTGTCTTTCACATCTGCATCCTCAGGACCTAAAACAGCAGCCAGCACAGAAAGAGTTCAGTGCTTCATCATCTCTATTTTGCATACATACATTAATCTGTGGAATGAATTATTATAAATTATAAAGTGGTAAGAGCCAGAAGAGAATCACAAATAGAATTTATAGGCAGTTGACGAAAGCTCCATATCTATTGAACTCTTTCTCTGTGTTGGGTACTATACTGTGTTAGGTGCTTTAAATGTATTATTTAATCCTAAAAGTAATCACCATATTAACAAGTGCTTTGTAGCAAACCTGAATATACCCAAGAAAGTGTCCAACTTCATTTTGAGCACCATAACCATCCTGGCATACATGGAGGGGAGAAGGTGGTCCACTCATATGGAACCTTTTGGAATGTGAGGTCACTTCAGAGCTAGGATGACCCTTTACCTCCTGGACATAGGGAATGAAAGCTATTAATTATTCTAACAACTCAAGATACCTTTGTTGCTAACAAGGTGTCCCTTATCTGGAGAAATTTTATGCAAAGCAGATATGGCAAACATTCTCGCTTCTTAAGACTACCTGTTTAAAATGAATTATTCCATTTTGATCATAGTTTTTCATTTACTTCATTCCTCAATTTTAGATCACAAAACTCTTAGAAGAATTGAGAGAAGCCAAAGAAAACCATACACCAGAGATGAAACATTTCATGGGCTTAGAAAAGAAAATTAAACAGATGGAAATGAGACATGAGCAAAGAGAGCAGGAACTTCAACAGGTAAAGTAGTACATCACATTTACATATTTGTATAGTTCTTCACTTTTTTTTTTGTGAGGAAGATCAGCCCTGAGCTAACATCTACCAGTCCTCCTCTTTTTGCTGAGGAAGACTGGCCCTGGGCTAACATCCATGCCCATCTTCCTCCACTTTACATGGGACGCCTCCACAGCGTGGCTTGACAAGTGGCGTGTCAGTGCGCTCCAGGATCCAAACCCCGGGTGCCACAGCGGAGCACACGTACTTAACTGCTACACCACCGGGCCGGCCCCATAGTTCTTCACTTTTAAATACCTCCAGTTTGCTATAGTTTTGTCATCCCTAGCAAAACTTACCTTGAAGGGTTTCCATTGTATTTTGATCTTGTTAAAAATAAATGCATAGCTTTTAAGAGAAAATAAGACTTTAAATCTCAAATACTTGAAGATTGAAGTCTTATATCTGGAAAATAGAGAAACAACTTGTATTGTGTTCTTAATTATTGATGGGCGCCTAAAAAGTTAGGCATTTTACCCTGGGAACAGGGCTCTGGGAATAATGTTCCATATTCAAGTCATTTCAATAATTGTTTTTAAGAAATAGATATATATTAAAATGTGATCATTTAAAATATTGTATGCCTAGCACTAGTAACATCATAATTACTGAACTTAATTACAAACAGATAAATTAATAGAAATTAAAAATGGGAGAAGTAAGGGCATGATGTGTTTTTAGGCACTTGCCTTGGTGCTGATATTTAGCTTTGCTTGCACAGTGTATTAGTCTGCTGGGCTGCCACAACAAAAATATCACAGACTGGGTGGCTTAAAAAGCAGAAATTTACTTTCTCAGAGTTCTGGAAGCCAGAAGTCCAGGTACCAGCTGATTCGGTTTCTGGTGAGAGCTCTCTTACTGGTTTGCAGACGGCCTTTCCTTGGTGTATGTGCTTCAGGGTGAGGCAGGGAGCGTAGAGAGAAAGAGAGCTCTGTGATGTCTCTTCTTATAAGGACACTAATCCAATCTGATTGGAGCCCCACCCTTATGACCTCATTAGCCTGAATTAGTTCCTTACTCCAAATACAGCCACACTGTGGGTTAGGGCTTCAGCATATGAATGGGGGCATGGGGAAACACTCAAACGTTCAGTCTAAAACAGTGTACATTTATTCTTTGAAAAAAATACCACATACATGCAGAGCTTTATGGTTGGCCTGGTACCACAGAGATAGCCTAAGTCCCTTTAATCATGTCAAGATTTATCATCATAGGAACTAAGAAATGTGAAATGGAGGACAAACAGATTGATGTAATTGATTTCTCATTCTTACTCTGAGGCTTTGATTTGTGGACTTCTCTTAAAAACACAGTGTATATCAAGAAACTATCAGCCATAGTAGATTAAGGCGTCATTTCACCGCAGCCTACCCATATGTGCCATTTTATAATGCCTGTTCTAAAAAATGGTTGTAAGTTGTTGGTAAATATGTTTAACATTAGCTTCCTTACTTGTTATACACACATGCTGTGTGATTAATAAATTGTATATGTATATTTGTTGAAAAACTATATGTATTAATATGGTTTATAAAGTTAGACTTTTATTTGCGCAAGCAAAACTGTAATAGTACTTTAGGACATCTTTGGTTTATAGAGATGATGGATTTCAGTTTCATATACAGTATGGTAATATGCTCAATTGGGATGTCATCAAGATGGTGACATAGGTCGTTTCCAACTTCAGTCCCCCTCAAAAAAAGACCAGTTTGCAACTATCTGTAGACACGGCACAATTATGAAAATCCCGGAACAAAAGGGTGAGGCAGAAGCACCTCCTTGGACAACAGAGACTGAAAAAGAGTGCATTAGAAGCATAAGAGGAACTGCCACACTCCGATGGCATCGCTCCTCCCCCAGGCTGAAACAGCACCACACCAAGAGGCTCCCTGAGGCCTACCCTTTCTCCAGTGGGAAAGAGCCCAGCATGGACATGCAGCTACCCTACCATGTGGATCACAAGGCCCACTCGGGTCTCACCTCATGGGGATTTCAAGGGGAATCTGTGGGCTTGACCACTGGAGATCAGATTGTGACAGAGAAGAGGGATAGGACTTATAGCAACCAGCACTTGAATGTTGGCAGACTGAATTCCTCCTTGAAGCAGTGCCCAAGTAGAGATACCAACCAGCAGCTGTGCCCATCTGCAGAACCAAGACAATGGCCCTGTCTGGCCAGGGAACTCAGTGCACAGTTCTACCTGATTCAGGACCCCAAACAACGAACTGGCCTTAGAGCCTGTTCTGCCACACTGCTTGGCCAGGGAAGCTAATTTGTAGCCCCACCTACGGCTGAAAACAGCTACCAGCCCCACCCCACCAGGAAACCGAACCAGGGTGCGTGGGAAGCTGCGTAGCCCATTGTACAGCCCCATTTACAGGAGCACTTGAGCAGAAAACACAGCCACCAGCTATGCCTGTCTACAGGGCTAAGCCACTGACTTAGTGGCCCTGTCTGTCCAGGTAACTTGGTCCACAGTTCTGCCTGATTCAGGTTCCAAAACAAAGAGCTGTGCTGGCCTTGGGGCCTGTTCTGCTGCCCTGCCAGGGAAAGGAAGCTAATTCATAACCCCATCGACTGCTGAGTATAGTACCCAGTCCAGCCTAACTCGAAAGCCTAACTAGAGAATCCAGGCAACTGTGGAGTCCATCTTATAGCTGCAGTTGGGCAGGGAAGCCACCAGTCCTATCCAACTGTTCCCAGCCAGCAGCACCCCCACCCTGACCCCAGAGCTCAGGCAGTGACCTCACCCAAAGAAGAGACCCTGATAGTAAGCCCCACCTGCCAGGGACACTACCAGCCGACCTGTCCAGAACCACAAGCTGAGCTGACTGGCACAGGACTGTCTGCCAAAGCAAACCTATAAAGTTTGGAAGAGGAGACCACTTACTCAAATTCACGGATACCAACAGAAAAATCAAGGATCATGAAAAATCTGGTAAAAAATGACACCACCAAAGGAAACTAATAGAGCTCCAATGGTTGCTCCCAATGAAATGGAGTTCTGTGAACTGTCTGAAAAGAATTCAGAGTAATCCTCTTAAAGAAGTTTAATGAACTACAAGAACACACAGAAAGACAGTTAAACAAAATTAGGAAAACAATGCATAAGCATAACGAAAAGTTCAACAAAGTAACAGAAACCATTAAAAAATCCTAGAGTTGAAAAATACAATGACAGAACTGAAGAATTCAATAGAGAGCTTCGGTAGCAGACTCAACCTGTAGAAAAAAGAAACAGCAACCTGGAAGATAGGACATTTGAAATGATCCAGTCAGAGGAGCAAAAAAGAAAAAGAAATGAAGAAGTAAAGAAATCCTTGAGAACTTATGGGACAGCATCAGATGAAACAGTATCCACATTTGCAAGTCCCAGAAGGAGAAGAGAAAGAAAAGGGGACAGAAAGTATATTTAAAGCAATAATGGCTGAAACTTCCCAAACCTGGGGAGAGAAATGGACATCCAGATTCATAAAGCCTAACAGATTGAGCCTGAAAAGAGCTACACTGACACACATTATAATTAAGTTGTCAAAAGTCAACTTTTTGGTTCCAGTTTAAGATGGCAAATAGGAAGATCCTGAACTCATCTCTTCCCATGACCACACTATATCTACAGCTACATATGGAACAATTACCTCTGGGAAAAAAACCCAAAAACTAGATGAGCAACTCCTACACACCAGGTGATTGAGAAAAAACCCACACTGAAGCTGGTAGAAGAGGTTAAGACACAAGCTCGCCATAAACCCCACCCCCAGCACTGCAGTCCACAATCAGAAGGAAACTCAAAGGCCCCAAACAAGTTTCTCCCTGAGGAGTGAAGGGTTTGAACCCCACATTGGACACCCCAACATTAAGACCTGCACCTGAGAGATGAGCCCCAAAACATCTAGCTTTGAAAGCCAATGGGGCTTGCATCCAGGAGACCCACAGGCTATAGTGAACTGAGAAACAGTTCTTAAAGGGCTCACACACGGCAGACTCTGCCAGCCAAAGGTGCAGTGCAGAGGCAGCTCACTGAAAAGTGCCTAGACTTTCCGTGATAGAGGCATATTTATGTTAAAGCATCTACCTGAGGGACAGGCATCTAATTTAACACACATCTAGGAGCCTACTGAAGTACTCTCCAGGGACAGAGGCCGGCAGGAGCCATCTTTGTTCTCTCCCTCTACCTCGCTCCAGGTCACTGGTATCTCCTAGAAGAGAGCTTGTCACCTCATCTGGCACTCCAATTTTTGTGGTTGATGCCCACGGGACACCTCTAGGTTGCCTGACTCTGGTGGCCCGCAGGGCTTATTCTTTTGGTCCCACAGAACTGTATATATTTGCATATTTTAAAAACTGCTGCCAGAGGGTCTGGCTTCCACTCAACCTGAATCTAGGTGCTGACTGAGACCCTCCCCTCTGGGACACTGACTGGTCTTACATACCATCAACTTCTGGGAGCCACTAAAAATAAAATATGCTGCTTGGACAATCACAGAGGTTTGAGAGATTAAACGTAGGGCAGTGTCAAATGATAAGGTTCATCTCCTATACAAGGCCACTCCTTCAAGACTGGGAGAGGAGGATGTTTTATCTAATGCATAGAAGCCAACAGAGTCAAGCAAATAAAGAAACAAAGAAATATAGTCCAAAAAAAAGAACAAGATATTAACCTCAGAAAAACAGCTTAATGAAACAGAGATAAGTGATGTACCTGATAAAGAGTTCAAAAGATAAAGAGTTTTAACGATCATAAAGATGCTCACTGAGCTCAGGAGAAGAATGGATGAACAAAGAACAACAAAGAGATAGACAATTATAAGAAAGTACCAAATAGAAGTCACAGAGCTGAAGTTTGTAATAACTGAACTGAAAAATGCAGCAAAGGAGTTCAACAGCAGACTAGATGAAGCAGAAGAAAGGATCAGTGAACTCAAAGGCAAAGGGAGTGGAACTCACAGCAGCAAAAAGAAAAA